AGGACATTTGATCCCCAACAATCAGCGATCTTGCAAGATAAGCCACTGTCACAAGGCTCCTACCATCTCATCAGGCCTCTCGCACTGATCCTGGGCCTGTCTTTTAAATCTCTCTCCCCTCTGGTTAGGGATGTTTTAGCAATGACTGGATTAGGCATCTGAAGTCCAGAGGCTATTTCTAAATCTCAGACTCTTTGTTTTGCCCAAATTTCTTCTCTAGATTCCCCCCTTAAGAGGGGGAGGGAGCAGGGAGGGAGCTTCGTGTCCCACACAAAGTTCATCATGCTCTGACTGTCTATCTGTATTTCATTCTGACAGTGCAGCCCACGCTCAATGTATTCATCCTCCAAATTCTTTGCAAGATAAGACAGTGCTACAGTCCCTGTTTTAGAGGCCAGGGAGAGCGGGCAGCAGAGACAAAGTGGCTTTGCCAGTGTCATGTGGGAAGTGTGTGGCAGAACGAGGAGCTGAGCTGAGTTTCCCAGGTCAGTGCAGTGACCTCAGGACTACACTTCCTTACTTGTGGGAAGGAAGTGGCTTACGCCATGAACTGTTAGCATGGAAAGAGAAAAAACAGTGCACACAGAGCTCAACAGCAGGCTCTTGGGTTTTGTTTCCTTTTTGAGCTACTTGGGAAAGCACAGTAGAAAAGCGGGTAAAAATTAAGCACTTTAATGCACATTCAGGCATTCCTAGATTTGTAATAGAAATTGATTTCTCTCCTTTCTCCAAGTGCCCAAAGTGAGCTTTATTATTCTAAGAAGAGGTGAAATATCTTTGAAAGCCTGCATTCTTTTCCACAGCTCCCTTTTCCCCCCAGTAAGATAAAAAGAGCTCTGGCATTTTATATTCTAAATTTTGACTGACCGGAACAAAATGTTTTCCCAGTGATGCGGTTTTGCACCTGAGCTTTTTTTGTGCATTGGATTTAACCTTAGGATGCAATATTTCATAAAACATTTATTGCCTTCTCCATTTTTATAGAGCACAATTCCCCTATGATACTTTGTTTTCATAGTCTGTTCCAAATATGATTCAAAGGCTTCTCTCACAATTTTAATTTTAGTTGTGGGTAAAGGAAGGAGCCTCTGCTATTTGCAGCAAAATTAGTAAATGTCTCCCTAAGCAAAAATAGTTCCAACAGGTAAAGATGATTAGAATCAGAGCCAGGAGTAGGCTAAGAGCAAGAATCTGGAAAGGAATTTTGTAAGTTATTTTATTCCAGAAGTGAGCAGGTTTCACATATGTGTCTAAGTCCCAGTCATCAGTACTGGCAACAGCAGTGATCCTTTTCCCTCAAAAACTGCACCTGATAAAGTCAAAATGCAGATAAAAACCAACCAAACCAAATCTTCTAAGCTATTTGGGAGCAGCAAGGCAGACAAAGGCCACTGCAAAGCAGAAAAAGAACTATTTTTTCCCTGACTCTTATTGTATCTAGACCCCATTGATGCTTCACTCGGGACGCTGCAGGTTTACCACGTAAGACTCTCCAAAGATTATAATGCATCGATTCTAAATGCCATTATAAATGTACCATTTTACTTATATTGTTAATGAGCTTGGCTATAAAGGGATTTGCAACCTGAATTTCACAACAGAGCCAAGGTATAATTTGCTCTGGGCTATAAAGCCTATGAATTATTGAGGCAATTTACTTCCAAGTCTGCATTTTCTTTCTGAGCACAAGTGCTCATGACGAGTGCATGTGTGTGTGTGTGTGAGGAGAGAGGCAGGGCTGCAAGCTGTGACAGTGATGCAAGCACCAACTCCTCTGGCAGCACATGGCCCCATCACGGGCTCTTTCCCTCAGCCAGCAAATAACGACAGAAAATAACTGGCAAAACAATCATTTTGAACAAATGAGAGCAGAAAAATTGCATGCTGACCAGTGCCAAATGAGAGCCAAATGCAAATCACAATTAAAAATGTGCTTTGGGTAATTACAGAGAGGGGCTTTTCCCTTAGAGACGTCACAAAGCTTGTGTGGATATAATCGGACTTGAGTGGATCTAGTGCTGGTGAGAAACACTAGGCTGACAAATGGGAATTCTCAGAGCCTCTGTGCAGCTGAGCACAACCTGCTGTGGGACCAAACCTCCCACCTGATGTTCTTTTTAACCTGGTTTCTTATGGAAGTGAGCTTTTGTGATCACACTGTCAAATCCGTGTCCTTTCTCCCCTCCTTCCACTCTCCACACCCAGCTAATAATTTCTGAATCCACTGACCAATTTCAGGCAAGACAATAGAGAACCGGAGGTTTCGAAGACATGAAGTTTAAGCTTCTAAATGTTTCATGAAAACAGGAGCTGGGTAGAGAAGAGGGATCTTTTAATAACCCCATTGCAAGAAAGACTCCAGAATGAGCTTACCCTTATACTGGAGAATGCACACAAGAAAGATCATATGAATGTCCTAACAGTAAGGAAAGCTTCTACTGGAGGTTACATATTCTTAAATGTTAGGGAATTTTGTCATAAGATTTAGAAATCTAGAAAACCAGGCTCCATTACTTCCACTGCTCAAGGGATTCAGTGGGGTTGGGGCTTTTTTTCCCCCTCCCCAACTGTTGGTATTATTTGAATAGGAAGAAGATCCTTCCATGACGAGATTCCCCCTGTGGCAGGCACTGCAGGAGAATTTTCTGCACCAGAGAACATGTGTCTGAAACACCAAACTGACAGGCTGGGAAAAGAACCAGAGACACGAGAGAGGAAGTGACTGGCTGGAGGTCACCTACCAGACTTCTAAACAGCGCACATCTCAGCAGCAGATGCACAGGCAGCTGCAAGCAGATTTCCTCAGCCAGGGAGCAGAAGCCTTCAGCTTCATAAAGGGGAATTGCTTCAAGAGCAACATTGTCAGAGTTCACGCTTTTCAGTGCCTTCCTCCAACAGACAAGAGCAGCCTGATAAAACCACTGGTAAAATGTGAGCACTCGCCTCAGCATGCTGTCAGTGCAGCTCTGGGCAAGAAAGGCCCTGAATTTATAAACCACCGAGTTAACTGTGGTCAGCAGCAGCCTCTCTAGATTACAACTTCCAATATGCAAGGACCATTGGAGCTGATTTAGCATAAGAAATCCTGAAAAGAGTGTGTAGATTTCGTCAGTGTAGACCAAGCTAATCTTTGGCATGTTCTTGCAATAGGCCTTTTCTTATGCTGCAAGCACTAAAAGTGGGGTTTTTTAACGCCAGCTGAGTACCAGGGGACAATCAGTATCATCAACAGATTATTCCTTATTACTCAAAAGGTTAAAGGAAAGGAAACATTCATCACGTGTTTTCTCTTAATCTTCTATTCTGAAATTCTTAGCAAGTGTACCTATAGCACTCACCTTTTATAATAGTATGTGATTTAGGAAGATGGATCCTTCAGACACGTTAGACACAGAGCTTGGCTGTGAGCTCCTGTCTCAAGCAGATAGTGAGAAGCAAATCTTCCAAGATGGAAGATGGCTCTTAGTCTCAAGCTCTTGGAGCCATAAAAGGTGTTGAAGAAACCCTGTCCCTCGAAGACAAACCACCAGCCCTCTTCTGCAGTATGGAAGGGAGAGGTCATTCTCCACTTGGGGCCAGCCCTCAGCAGTAGATCAGGGATCTTCCACCTGAGCATTCTTCTAAGATACTGAGAACAAGGCAAGTGATACAGCCTTTCTTTGCTGTACCACACTGTAACGCCTGCAGCTCCTCTATCTGCCTGTAATATTACATCTTTTACACAAATGGCATGAGACTTGTATGAAAAATGTGTTGTGATACACACCTGTTAAATACAAATGATTTGAGAGCAACCCTGAGCAGATCTAACGAGTGAAATCCTGTTTGGTTAATTGCTTAATTTAAAATTATTTAGATATCCATTTAAAATTATTTAGACATGCTTGAATGACTACCATATTAGAAAGTAATTGAATTTTTTTAATCTGTCCATTTAAATTCACTTGTCTGTTCTGGAAACCTTTATTTTTTTTTAAATCTGTTTAATTATTAAAGCATTTCTGAGGGAGGAAAATGTATAGATTAATTCTTTATGAGTGGAAATACACCGATCCTGTGTCATGGTTGCTTCCTACATACACACACGGAAGCTCAGTTCCTGCAGTGTTACCCCTCTTTGCCTACTCTGTGCTTTTGTAAAGAAGAGGCAAGTCCAGCCGATTTCTTTTAGTCTGGTTAATGACTTGTGGAAATATGCAATTAAGGGACAGATTACAGCAGGGCAATTCTAACCAGGCTGGACTGGAAAGAGAAGTTCCCCAGAGTGAGACAGGTTTTTCTATGAATGCGGGTGGTCATGGAGAAATATCTGATTCGTAAGCTCCCCACGGGCATTTAGGGGTTTGACTGGGGTCTTGCAGTTAGAACTATCATCCCCCAAAGCCAGATGGGAACAGAGCTCCTTGCAGTTTGGTGCAGTCTGACAACTCACAAGACAGAAGCGCTGTGCAAGCAAAAGCAGGAAGGGAAGGGAAGTCAAACCGTTGGGATTATTCCCTCACCCTTCTCACGCAAGCTCAGTCCTTGTGCTCCAGAGTAATCTCTGAAGAACTGAGCGGAAAAAAAAAGCCTTAGAAGCGCCCTGGCCTCCTTGCAGCACCAAGAGCTTGTCTCTTGCAAAGCTGCTCCCAGGGGTGACATAAAGCAATGCACTGAGAAGTGAAGGGAAGGGCTGCCCTCTTGTGTCAGTCACTGCTTCTTCATTTGCCTGTTTTTATATCCTGTTTCTATCAGTGAGTGAGCACTCAGCCATTTCCCTCCAACAGATATTTCTTCTTTGGAAAGGCATGGGATTCGTTTCTGAGTACTACCCTGATGGAAAAGTTCAATAAATAAAAATCCATCTGCTGTATTTGTGACTTGGAGACACCCAGGCCTGGGCGTATATTGCTCTTCCAGCAAGAGACAATCCAAATAGCCTAGTCTCCATCTTGACACAGAAAAAGGCGGCAGAGGAGAGAATAAAACAGGAGAAGTATAATTAAGAAGGACAGAGAAGAGAGAGAAGAGAAGCAGATTTATTAAACCAATCTTTCCCCGCAACCCGCACAGTAAGCTATATGCAAGTTAAATATAGAACCAACACTCCTCTGGGGAGCCGGGCTCACGAACAGCTCACACGCCATGAATGTGTAACAGAGATTCTAGTCTCAGTCCTCTTGGCTGGCAGAGAGATCTTCATTTTTAAATCATTAGTGCTCATTTCCAGGGTGGCTCTTGCAGCAATGGTTGTCGGAGAACAGTCTTCTAAAAGCTGTGCTAGATTTTGTGCCCACCCCTTTTACCTCTCCTAAATATTTGCAGAAGGTAGCCCCTTTTCACAGCTACCAAAGCAACCTCAGCAAAAATGAAGACCATCAATCATATTCTTGCTGGTGGGAGGTCAGTGAACATTAGCTGCGACCTGGCACTCCCCACTTCAGGTTACGCTTGTTAATAGCACCTCGAGCTTTCACTCCTGCTCTTATCCTGGGGATAATCCCACAGCAATGAAGAATCCTGTAGATTGCTCATGTTCTTAAAGGTAGCCAAATTAGCACCTTGCTAAAAAAGAAAATCACTACTCAGGAGCAGAAAAAAATCATATAATTTGGAACATGGGAGGGGCAAGAAAGGGAAAGAGCTGTCATTTCAAAAAAGGCCTCTCAGAGCCCCTGTTTTTGTCTGGGCTGAGACTGCTGTAATCAACTCCAGGCTCCCAGATTTAAAATGATGGATAGCAGGTACCTTTGCTATCAGCACTTCAGGAAGAATCATCCCTAAAGAGTAATTTTTTGCACTTTGTCCCAGCCTGTATTATGGTATTTTGTATTTTTCCTAGCCCATACTATGGTATTTTGTATTTATAACTTATCCTAGATAAGGCTAGAGCCTGCTTTGTTTCATCCTGCACGTTGCTGAGCTCATCCACAGACTAAACTGGTAAAAGCTGCCAGGAATCTTTGATTTTTTTCTTGTCCTTTCCGACTGAGACCCTGGCACCTGAGCGGATAACAAAGTATAAAGGCATCTTTGCAATTTCTGCTGAATCTTTGAAATACATTAGTAATACTTAACCCTGTGTGCAAGTGTCTCTTTGAGACTAAATTGTACTTTAACTGGCAAAAGTAAGCAGTAAAAGGGTCCCACCCACAAGCCAGCTCATCTTGAAAATAGAAAAAGTTTAAAGATCTAAAAAACTTCAAAAACAATCCCTTCAGGCCCAACATAAAAAAAAAACCCACAACATATCTTTTCTTATCTGTCTCATTCCTTGTCTCTAGTTGTGAAGCACCACTTCATGCCTTTCCCTCCACACACTCTCCTGTCCTCGTTTGCTGTCTCCCTGCAGTTTCAGGAACATGTCCCGTTATGGAGCAATTTGCACTCAGCAATTTGCTGGACAGTTGATGTTCTCAGAAGGAGAGAAACTAGAGAGGCTGCTCAGTGTGACTTGCAAGGATTCCCCTTTCAGCTCCAGTTTGGGAAGCTTCTGTTCTGGAACAACAACTTGCTGTTTGTTCTGTTCTGACTCTTCAGGTGTGTTCCCAAGATGGCAAAATTCTCCTGACCTTTATATGGCCATATGCTGGACACAAGGAATTATTATTATTATTTTTTAATCAGAAGATGAACAAGCATTCATATCCCACTTTTATAGGTATTTTTAAATTGCTCCCCTTTTACTTCATTTCACATCCTTGAAGCAGCTTTACCAGGAGATTACAGCAGTCACAGGAAACATTTCTTCTGACTGACAGATCATCACAAGGGCATGAGAGGAAACATCTTTCTGTCATAACCTGCCTATAAAACCAAACCCTTCACGTCATCTTGAACTCTGACAGTACCTGCCTATAAAACCAAACCCTTCACGTCACCTTGAACTCTGACAGTCCTTCCCTTCCCTTCCTTTTCTCCCCATCAGAAATGAGTCAGAGCTGCGGCTGTTCTTGTGTCGCATCTTCTGGATTTCCTGAATTTGCCTGTGTTGCTGGATCTCTGTTGATGGCATCAGGTGAACGCTGGATGGGACTCAGCCCCCCTGGGGTCACCTCTCCTGGGATGTCACTGAGTTTCTGGCTTTTCCGTGCTCCTTCATTGCACTGTTTACCCCTTTGGACAGCTTCATCGTAAGAAGGTGGCAAGTCCATGGCATAGAGGCTGTAAGCTGGAGGGGACATGGTGTTCTTATCCATATCCACAAATATCGAATGAATCGGGGCAGTCAGAGGGTACTGCCATGAGCTATATGCTGTGAAGAAAAGGAATTTAAAAAAAATTAAACACTTGCATGGAATGCTGATATATAAAAGGCTAATCCTGCATTTCTCCAAGAAATTATCGACTCGTTTTTGTGGTGTCAGAACATATGCACTAGCACAATATACTAAACCCTATCAGTATAGAATTACCAGTGGTAGAATCTATACATTCTCCAAAAGAAAGCAAGCAGAAGAGAAAATGTCTCTGCATATCCCATCCAGTAACTACTGTGGAACACCCGACATGGGACACACGCTTTGTAACAGAGGTAGTTTCAGTTGGGTTTGTACAGGAACAGCTCTGAACAATTCCTCACGTTAGAGATAACTTTTGCTGGAATAGCTGGACAGTGAGGTGGGCAGAAAACTTTAAAAAATGAGGGAATGGTGATAAGAACAGAGTGGGAGACGACATGTAAGAAGTTAACCCACCAGAGACTTTATTTTAACCTCTTGTACAGGAACAGCTCTGAACAATTCCTCACGTTAGAGATAACTTTTGCTGGAATAGCTGGACAGTGAGGTGGGCAGAAAACTTTAAAAAATGAGGGAATGGTGATAAGAACAGATGTGGGAGACGACACGTAAGAGGTTAACCCACCACAGACTTTATTTTAACCTTTATAGTATTAAATCCTACTTGTCTCCTGCACTCACCTACCGTGGGCCCTGATGACCTTCCTTTTTCTCTCTTGCCCACTCTGTGGGGCTGACAGCTGTTCTGGGAGTACGTCCAAAAACCCCCATTATTGCAGGGGCCAGACACAGAATTCTTGGCACATGTTGGACAGCAAAGCCCTGTTGAGTAGTTGGCTTCCAGAGGGTACTTACAGGTGACGGTGCTGTGGGCAGTGCTGTCGCTGTCGATGGCAATAGCTGTCAAGTCGTGAGGGTGCCTGGAGAAGGTCTCCACTGGAGGCCTCTTCTTCCGGCAGCAGAATCGGATGCAGCTCGCTGTGATCCCACAGAGCAGCAGCAGGAACACTGTCAGCAGGAGTAACCTTAGAGAAGGAGGGAGAATACCAAGATTTCATTGCTTCTGTTTACCTTCTTCCAGAGCTGAACAGAATTTCGCTCTGAACAGGTGAAGACAGGCCAGACCTGCTGGGCCCAGTTGGGAATGGGTGCTGAGCTGGAATTAGAAAGTTGGAACACAAACACTGAATCACAAGCTGAAGGAACTCCTGACCAGCGGAACAATCCGTTCTGGCTCACAGATGCCATAATGTTAATTATTCTGGGCTGTATTTGCAGCTTTTATGCAGTGAGAAGGGCTCCACTTTCAACAGTGAGAGTGGGTATGGACTTGGAGGGAAACACAAATACAAACTTTTACAGGTTTAGGGACTATATTTATAAATGAGCACAGAGATCATATTTTGCTGTATGTCTTGAAAATGCAATTCTCTCTCTAGCTATTGTTTAACCAAGTATATTGTTTAACAATTCTGAAATGTTCCTAAGTCGACAGGCTAGTGTTGCAGTTGTTTAACCAAGTATATTGTTTAACAATTCCAAATGTTCCTAAGTCGACAGGCCAGTGTTTCACGTTCTCCTCCCACTTGAAACTCTACCATCCTGTTCCCTAATTTCTCAAATAAACCCCCTCTTCTCCTGAGGCAGGTGAGCAGTAAAACACACCACGAGAGGGTGAAGTAATAAGAAATGCTTGAAAGTCCTGTAAAGAAGTAGGTCCAAGGACAAAGCTGAGGTACATTCATAGCAGCTGGACAGGAATTACCCTGTGACAGATCATGCTCCTGAATTCCTCGTTAGGATTATATCCCACCCTAAATGTGTATAAAAATGGCCTCTGTAGCATTCTATTCCTTTTTTCAAAGCCAAGGTAGTACCTTCCCCTAAGAATCGTGATTCCAAAATAAACTTTTCTTTAATAACTGTTTTATTTAGTTTTACCAAGAGTATATTTCTGTTAGCGTGAGGGTCAGATACACACAAAGGCTACCCTCGGTGCGGAGTGTGGATTTGTGGGCCTCAAACTTCCACAAATTTCATGCATTTTCTTACAAATTACTGTTTTAGAAAAACACCTTCAGGCAACTTAAACCCATGTGTGAGAAGAACTTGCTGCCATGCTGGGACCTGGTGATGGAATGTTCCTCCAGTGCGAGGAGCGTCACCTCATCACCAGCCAGTCGGGGTTTCCTGACACTCCACCAGTGCCATACTGGTGTGTCTGGGAAATGATCGTGCTGCGTAGGCTGCTGCCTCCCAGGGCAGAAATCACCTAGTTAAAGGCATCTCAGCAGCATGAATCTCACCACTAGCTCATTAACTGTCGTGATTTCAACACTGCCTAATTACAGAAGCCTTCTTAAAATATTTCATGTAACTATGTATTTTTAATCCGTTCGATGTATCGGTTCTAAGGAAGCAAAGAATATCAGCCAAAATTAGTCCAGACAGAACGATGGCTAAAAGTAACAGCTCACTGCCATCAAAGTTAAGTTAATCTATTGGCAGGATGCAAACTATAAAAATAATGTTTGGATTCCTGTAACGCATGTGTCAGGCAAGAGATAAATCCACTTGGGACTAGAGTTTACCCTCTTCTTTATCCCTGTTTTCCCCTTTTGAGTCCTGCAGACAGACAGCAAACAGGTCTGTCACCAGCCCGAGCCCAGGATGAAAACACCCCACCAGAAGCCATGGATTTGTGTCCCAGGAGGGGGAGCCCAGGGCTGGGTGTCGGGCTGCGCGGGGCCGAGCTGCACAACTGCCCCTGCCCGGTTTATTTTGGAAACACAAACAACCCCTCAGTGGAACCACAGGAGCTTGGAAAGGAAGGATGACACATCCCTGGTGAATGCCGTGCCCGGCCTGACACCTTATCTCTAACATATTCCACTGGGAGCTTTCCTAAAACTGAGGAGAAACCTTTCCTCCCTCCTGCCTGAGAGAAGAGTGTTCCCATTACCTTCCACCAATTACAGCTCATAATAACTTTCTAGGTTAGTAAGATTAATAATAAACTTACCAGACATACCACAGACTTGTCCAATTAGGCATGTTCTGAGGGCATCTGTGAAGGAAGGTAGATGATTCACTGATTTAAATATCTACAGTCAAACAGTGAATGTGTGATGGGGAATACATTTCATGGGATTTCTGTGGCAAAAAAGGGAAAGCAAGCGGTAAGAGTGGAGAGAAAACCCTTCAGATTTAGTTTCAGAGGACTGTTCTTCGTGGCTGTAACATTACCCCAGCTCAGAACATACAGACAATCCCACCGTAAGGGTTTCTGAGTCAGAAAGTGTTTGTACAAAGTGATATTTTACTGGTGCTTAGGAGAGAAAACACACACGCTGGATTCTCAAAAAACATATCAAAGAGTAATTTAAAGTTAAGAGAGATGAGGCACCTAAAGCCTGAGAACGCCAGCCTGAGACAACTGCCCCTTTGCCTTGGTTATTTTTAAATTGCTTTTTCATAGCTCAAATACACCCAAGAAGTGATTTCTTCAGACCTACTTACAGGACAAGAAAAGGGAAGAAGAGGAGTGGGGCTGCCACAGCTGTACTGTACGTAGGGAATTGCAGGGAATGGATTTCATGGAACAGGACGAGGCTTTTGGCCACAGAAGAGAATTTGCAAATTGCTTTTTCAGAAGATGCCAATTCAGGGTCGGTTTGAAGAGAGGATCGTTCCCCTTAGTGCACAGAGCAAGAACTGAAAACTGGTAACGACCCCAGAGATCACAAAAGCAGCCCTAACAGATGGCCGTCGGTAATTCCTCCTTCCGACCTGAGAATGTCACTCGATGTCGCTGGGAGCAGGTTTGTGGTATCAGACATTTGAAAATAAGCCATTACTCACTGATCGGAGATCTCGCAGGGATCCTCAGAGGAGCAGAGCGACGCCCGGGAGAGGGGGGACGAGAAGCCCCGGCTGAGGGGGGGCCCCAGGAGAAGCAGCGCCTCGTTGGGCTCCTGCCCCCGGGGGGGCGGACACGGCCCCGCTGGGTCTCTCCGCTCCGCCCGGCCACGGCCGCTTCTTCAAGGACGAGCGGCCGCAGCGCCGGGCTCCGAGCGGGGACACGAAAGGGGACACCCGCCCCGGGGGGAGCCCAATAAATCCCCGCCCGGGATCACGCGGGGGCCGGCCCCTCGCCCGGCGGCGGGGGCGAGCGCCGGGTCCCGCTCGGCTCGACCGGCCCCTCCGCAGGCCCGGCGGGAGGGACAGAGCCCCCCCGGCTCCCCCCCGGCAGGGCACGGGAAGGGGGCGGCACGGAGGGACCCCAGCTTCCGAGGTGATGGGAATCGGGGTGATGACGGGACGTGAGTGGGTAAGCAACGAGAAGACAGACTGAAACGTTGAACAGCAGGGGAGCTAATTAACGGGTTATAACGATTTCAGCTGCAGAAAGGGGAAGAGCAACCAACAGACTGGCATTTGGACCTGGCTGTTGAGGGCCCTGATGTCCTCAGAGGTGTGTATGTGGGTGCATATATAAAAGCTCCTCCAGTAACAAGAATGGCACAAAACACAAGGTTTGGTTTGGGTTTAGGCGTGGGTTCTTTGAGACTGTAATGCAACAGGAGAATCTATTTGGATTCAGGTTGCCAGAGGTTTCTTCTATAAGAAAGACGGGTGAGCTCCAATGCACTGGGGGCAATCCCACCATTGGGAGCAACAATGGACACAACTGCTTGGAAGTTCTGGGTTCAACAGCCCATTCTCCAGCCAACATTCCCTACTTTTCTCCATAAGGCTCAGAGCCAGTGTTCCAAGGCTCAGCAGTGGCACGTGGCGTGTGACCGGAGTGTTTCCCTGTGGGGCTGCTCAGCGTCATGGGACCATGGCTCATGTAGGAAAACCTGCATTCGTAAGCGTGAGGCAATCTCTGAAGTCACTGGATCAGCAGAACATGCATTAATAACATGGGTGTGACACTAGCACTTGGTACCCCTCTTCCTTTCTGGTTTAGAAAAGAGCTAGATCTAGCATTTAAGACGTATAAAGATCCTACACGGATGTGAATCGCTTTCTTACTAAACTAGAGATGTGGCAGAGCCAAGAAATATACGTTTGTATTTAGATCCAAATCTGAAAGCACAAGTGTTTGTGTCCAGTGATCATGGAATCATGAATGCACAAGTAACCACAGGTATGAAACTCGGTCTGAAAGCACAAGAGAGGAGCTTAAGCTTCTGGGAAACTCAGCTATATTCCTGAGCTTACATTTTCCTTATTATCCTCACAATAAGGGCTGCATCCCTATTGGGATCCTACAGTAGGGAAACAGAACCAGCAGATCACATGTTTAGAATCCCCTGGCTATTTTGATACCAAACATACAATGATTGTTGATAACCTGCTTTGGAAGCACAGTATTGAACAGGATTCAGTGCTTCTTCAAGGGATCCACCTGCACAATGGCCAGAGCTGCTGCCTTGTGGTAGCTGTGAACTTGGGATTAAGCCATACGAGGAGAATGCAACAGCTCTTCCAGCTCTGTCCTCAAGGAATTACCTACAAACCCACAAGGAATTCCCCAATTTCCACGGGCCTGACAGTGTGCCTGTCAGATCATTGCAAATTTGCACTGTGAAGATTCTAAAGATGCTCAGTGCCAATTAAAAATCTAGCAAAAGTAACTGTGTTAATCCAAATGAAATTATTTTAGTTATTTCTGGTGTAAAAGTCAGATCTATTATTGAATCCTTGACTTGCTCAATGCACATAAGCAAGAGGTTTTAGGCGAGTGAAGAGCCCTGGTGATGAAAGAGCACACAACTGTCCCGGGGTTTAGGCAGGAGTTTCCCATGTCAGGAGGCTTAGTCAAATTTTGGAGTCAGAGTTGTGTTCCAGCCCCAGCAGCGTAGTCTGTTTTACAGGGGATCTGCCTTCCCACTCCAGCTGATTTGATTCTCCCCCTCCCATCAGCCTGTCTTCTCTCCTTGCTCAGGGATTGCTTCACACAGGAGCTGGGCACGTGGCACCACGTGTGCCAGGAGAACAAACCCAATCCATCCCAAAGGAAAATCCAATCCTGCAAGAATCAGCTGTTATGCCCCTAAGAAATCAAATACGGTTACGTTCGAGACCCAAGATAAAATAACAGGTTTTTCTGTCATGAAAGAGAATAAAAACTGTTCAGAGTTCCACAGGTGCTCTGTAGAAGGTCAGCTGCTGTGTTGCAAACATAGTTTTCTTTATTTTCAGTACTCCAGAAATAGCAACCTGTTCTTATTAGCACCGTTGGCCCCTCCCCCTGGAGACAGCGAATACACCGGGCTGTAAGCAGGGGAACTCTGAGCACTGAGAGCCAGAGCCTCACGCTCCCTCCAGGGCTGTGAGATTATTCACAGGAGTTTGCAAGATCAAGTCTAAAGAATGCAGCTACCCACGGGTGGCACTCTGTTACCTTCACAGCCATTCCATGCCATCAACCAGCTTAAGTCAGTTTGTAACTGCTCTTTATACCCTTTATTCTTTCTGAACGCACCAACATAACGCTGAGAGCTTGACCCTCAAACTTCTCCAGCTCATCAGGTGCATCCAGAGCTCTCCAAAGCTGTTAGGAGCCTTCCAGAAACAGTGTCCAATAAATCCTCTTGGTGGGACCAGGTAATCCTTGCATATACACTTTATTTTCCACTTATTAAGCCTTTTTCTCTTTCTTGCAAGCAACCTCTGCACTTTTTCACCATGGTCAGTCTTTACGTGTATTCTTTAATTTTTTTTTTTTTTCAATTTTTTAATCCTTTGGATGCTTTTTTATGATACCTGACCTCTATGAAGTGGAAGATTCCTAAGACAGGGGTGTTATTTGTTGGTAGATAATTTTACACCCCTTTTCAGCACATTATATGGCTATAACTGCTCTTTATACCCTTTATTCTTTCTGAACGCACCAACATAACGCTGAGAGCTTGACCCTCAAACTTCTCCAGCTCATCAGGTGCATCCAGAGCTCTCCAAAGCTGTTAGGAGCCTTCCAGAAACAGTGTCCAATAAATCCTCTTGGTGGGACCAGGTAATCCTTGCATATACACTTTATTTTCCACTTATTAAGCCTTTTTCTCTTTCTTGCAAGCAACCTCTGCACTTTTTCACCATGGTCACAGTCTTTACATGTATTCTTTAATATTTTTTTTCAATTTTTTAATCCTTTGGATGCTTTTTTATGATACCTGACCTCTATGAAGTGGCAGATTCCTAAGACAGGGGTGTTATTTGCTGGTAGATAATTTTACACCCATTTTCAGCACATTATATGGCTCTGAGAGTCTGGAGACTAAATCAGTCCCAGCCATCACTTCTTAGTTTCCCAGAGTGAAATCCAAAGGACCCTCACATAACGAATGTCCCCAAATTAACTACCTGAAACAAACCTTCTCCTCCAGTGCTGCACCCTCCCTCACTTTCTGATACCTTCCCTATCATTAGGTAACTGTTGACTGTGCAGTACTATTTGCCACGTTTTGTGTGGGAGTATTTAACCCCCCGTTTGGGGCTGGGAGGACCATAAGAGCATCAGACACAGCCTCCATTGTCCTCAGCTCCAGCCCAAGCACCCCAGCTGTGTCCCCTCTGGGGACGGCAGCGCTGGTCCTGGCTGGCACCACCACCCCCAGCCCCTGCTCCTCCCAGGGAAGGGCTGTCCCTCCCGCAGCTGCGGGGCTTTACACTCAAGAGTTAAATAACTTCTCAGCCACTTGATCCCTTATTAAATGAGATGGGATCTGAAAGGATCAAACACATCATCCACAGGGAAACAAGGAACCCTCTTCACCCCTTAGACAAGCGGCCTCTATAAACGGGGGAAATTGCTTAAAACACCTCTTGTGACAATTGCTTCCCTGCTTTTTCCTGCAGCCCCACCAGCTTGACACTTTCCCTCAGGGATACTCACAGAAAGGCTGTTTCTATTTTCTTACTGCATCATCTAAATAAGCAATTTTAACAGCTCCACAGGCCAAAAGGCAATGAGCCTTTGGAGCAGTGGCGAGGGAATTTCGGCCCAGACTTAATTCAAGGAAGAGCATGACATAACATTTAAGAGATTATCTGTGTTTCTAGATTTCTGCTAACTTCCCCATCCCCTCATTCACTACTTTTCTTCTTCCCTGAACCAGCTACTGCTTCCTGACGGGAATTAGACCTGCAGAGCATTCCAGCCTCCCCAGTAACAGGCAGAAATCCACCCCAAGTCAGAATTGAGAGAAAAGCAAATGTAGAAATCCAGAGTTCCTGGACAGCCGTCATCTAGGGCAAGTGTCTAATTAACCACATCCAGAGATTCAGGGAAGAGCACGGTCACTATTTCCTCCCTGACCATGTGTCAGCAGGAAGATTTCACAGCGCACTGTAAGAATGACTGCCCAAGCCATGTTGAGGAGGCTTGAATAAGAAGGTTTATTCTGGTCTTAAGAGGGCAAAAGTCAAGGATTTTCCAAATCCATTAAGATGCATCTGAAATTGGAAAAAGACATTTTGCTTGAAACTCATCCATGTAGATATAAAAAGATACTTCTCCTGAGGGAATGTCCACCTTTGGAAAACATCTATTTGGGTCCCTTGTTAATTCTTTCTTCTACCACAAGGTTATTGTCAAAGTCAGCTTGAAAATGAAGCTCGTGGAGCCAGAGTTTACAGAGAATTTTTTTGGGGGGGGAAAAGCAGAAATATTACATGTCACCTTCCTTCCTGCTTGCAAATCTGTGAGGGGAGCAGGGAATCTCAAAATTGTTCCACGTTTCAACCGAGCTCCAAGGATGTCCCAGTAACATAAGCCTCCATCCTCCTTTCCACTCACCTCGGTTCCTCACTCACTGGGAGCACACGCAGACACCACTTTTGCCATGAAGACGATTTGATAAGTTTCCTTAATGTCACTTCTTAAGGTCAGGAGGGCTGTCACAAGCAGAGGGTCATCAGCCTACCAAAAAAATCCACACATAAAACCAACCTATTTATTTGTACATGGAACAGATGAGTTGATGAAGTTCTAAACCACGGATTTCACATCTTAGCTATAAATTGCCTCTTCCCACCGTGGTGGCACTTTCCCCACAATGCTCGTACTGCAGTAAGTGGCAATGACTAAGCATCCTATCATCTCCAGAGAGCTACAGATATTGTCACCTCACTCCAGCCATGACAACTGGGCACAGCAGCAGCAGAGGACACGGCAGGGAGGGTTGGGGAAGCACTGGATCCCATTACCCACCGCTCAGTAATAAATCATGTGTAACGGCCAGTGGTTACCAAGAGGCACAACGTCACCATGACACATCTCACCAGGAACTCTGTTGCCTTATTTCAGCACATGATAGCAGTAATCTCTTCATTTTGGAAGAGGCCACTCATCCTGCCATCCCACACGTGGCTCCCAACAAAAAAGCAGGGGAGTCCATTCTTTCATTCTCCATAAATAGCCAAGAAGATGAATCAGGAAGGGCAATCACAGCCCTGAAGAGAAGTTGGGACAAAATGGCAGAAGCAGCCAAGGAAACAGGGTTCATAAAGTGGAAAAAAAAATATATAAATATATCAAAGAGGCCCCCCCGACTTCCAGGAAGAGAGAGAGGCTGCAGAACGGCCACTCACGCGACAGCCGGCAGGTGGCAGCCAAGAGACACCGATGCGTCGCACTTGCCCACGCTCCACCCTTCCCTTGGTGGCCTCGATGGTGAATCCCTTCTGCTGCAGGAGCGGGGGGGCCTCCAGACTGAACTCCAGCTTCTAGGAGAGACACAGACACACACACAGTGCACCCTCAGCACAGCCCCTCTGCTCCTGCACACGCCTGCCCTGCCCAGACACTCTGCGCAGGCCCAGGGGTTCCCAAATTCCTTCTGCCCTTTGAAACTGCCAGTATCCGGCTTGTTCTGTGTGTCAAGTTGTCACAATACACTAAACTAACAGGTTCAGAGCTGCACTTCAGTTCTGTGCTCGTATTTCTGAACTGGGAAAACAACCTGCTAAATTAATTTTGTTGCTCACTTAACATGATACTACTAATTCCTTATATTAGTCCCTGAAAATTAACCCTCTCTCTTCAAACACCTCTGCTTTTATAACGTAAAGTTTATCAGAAACCTTGAAAGCTATATTTTTCAACTTACAGGCTGAATTTTGGACAGAAAGAACTAGTAGCCATTTGCACACTGTCACAACTCCTTACAGTGTCTGAGAGAAAACCACACTTATTTCCTTCACCTTTTTAGATGCAAGCTGTGTGAGTATGGATCCGACCCGCAGCTCCGCCGTTGCTGGCACTGGAGGACTCTCTCCCTCGAAGCACTCCAGAGCCAGGAGAATGGACTTCACTGGTTTTTGCTCTACACAAATAGAGAGTGAACTCCTAGACAGTCAACACTGAGTGATTATCAGTTAAGCACAAATTACTCCAGGATGGTTCAAAACCAAGCGATGTTGTAGCAAATTCATGAGTCAGCATAGATAAGGAGATGCTTCTAAGAGAGTTAGTGAAGAATTAAGCAAAAGGAGGTTTTGCACAATTTGCAATTTGAAACTGTAACTTAATTGTTTACCAAGTTTCATGCTTGTTTTCTAGCCCATATACTGTGTGTACAATATTCCTACTTGTGCATGGTGTGTAGTTGGATATATTTATACCTCAAGAGAGGCAGGAGTTGCTTATACACTGTCTCTGAACACAGACCCTGTCCAAAGAAATTAAGGAAGGATGAATTCAAGCCCCTGAAAGCGTGTCTGTTTCGTAACAGTGCAATGGGGAGAGCCCAGGATATGTTATTATATATGAAATAATTTTATAAATATTTAGTACAAGTCAGAGAAGGGGCAGAAAGCAAGTACATCTTAATACTTTGTAGTAGTATTAAATCATAATCATTTTTTGCAAGGTAAGTTGCAAAGATAGAAGACCATCATTAACTGCAATAAAATCAAGATAAAAGCTTCCCTTAAGAGACAGTTTCCTTCCTTTTTTGTGTGTTATGAATACAGGCTGTACCATAACGCTTAACTTTTCCAGAATCAGAACAAATATCTTCAATTTACTTTTTCTTAAGGGCTGAGGAACATGCCCTTGTCTTATCATTTCCTGTTTTGAAATAAAGTGTAAGTGGCAGCACTTCATACCCCCTGCTCGTGCTTTCTGCGGTGCCGTGGGTGATGTTACAGCCAAGGACTCAAGGGGCACATCAAGGGGAACCCCCCCCTCCACAAACATGGGGTGGTCTCTTGCTGCACCCTTCAGGTGGATCACGTGGGCTGGTTCCTGTAGAGGAGAAGAACACTTCAATGGGGGTTACAGCTTCGGTACCGCTGTAACAGCAACACCGGCTGGTTCCTGTAGAGGAGAAGAACACTTCAAATGGGGGTTACAGTTTATGTACTGCTGTAACGGCAACACCAACACAACAGCATGGGTTGCATAGCAATGATGACATCATCTGCCTATACAATAAACACCAGGAGGCCCCATACTCCTACACAGCCATCCTGTGCCCTCCCCTTCTCTCGTCCACTCGGGCACTTCTGTTTTAAACAGCCTTTCACCCTCGAGCAACCTGCCTAAGGAAGGGACTGGGCAAACTATTTATACTAAAGCCACTAAAAGAGGGAACACTCATCTGCTGCCAAACCTGGCTGAAGTTTGTGAACTAGGACCAGTCTCCATTCATCGTCAGCTCATTCTCATTGCATTCTGAACCCTAATTCCAAAGATAATCAAAACTTGCAAGGAGAGAAACAGGACTTTATTTGCTGACTGCCGGTGTCTGCAGTGCCTGCTGACAGTCATTAGCTGGCACTCTCCAGTAACTTTTGGCCAGCCTCTTGGCACAGGGCATGAAGCCCCCGCTGTGCTGCAGCCTGTCCATCCTGCCCTGGGCTGGCTGAGCCCTACTGCTGCTCCACAGATGGGACCTCCTTCCTCACGCTGGGTGAGAGCAGGAGCAGCCTCCTGGTACCCAGTGCCCGTCCCTGTGCGGGCACCGCTCCGCTCCCGCTGTCATTAAATGCTCCTTGTGGAGAAGCCCTCTGTGCTGTGCTCAGCAGTGTGGCTGCCACCCTCCTGCCACCACCTCCCCTCTACACCCTGCAGACAGCTGGGCACAAGACAGGACCGAATCCCAAGTCACTGTTGTTATGAATTAATAATATTTAAAACCTGACCAGAATCCCAAGTCACTGTTGTTATGAATTAATATTTAAAACCTGACCAAAAGTCAGTGGGCCCCAAACCTGCCATCTCCTACCTGCATCAGCATACCTAATGAACATAATACAATTATTTGAAACTCCTACTAAGACCCATGCTGATAAAAATCACTGTAGGTCATATTTAGACTTTGATTTCATAATCCAGGTGCGTCGATTGTCTCACCTTGCCAAAGAGCATAACCTTGAGGCAGTCAGAATAGCACAGACTTTCGTGGTCAGGGCTGAAAGTAACAGTAAAATCCTGACTCTTCCCAGCAACAATCTCTCCTTCTGCTGGAAAGATGCTGAACACACTTAAGCCATTATAGTTTTGTGTTTCTGGTAAATAAAAATAAGGATATGAATAAGAAAGGAGGACAGCTTCATTTTACTTCTTCATATATTTTAAATCAATTTAATTTTTGTTGGAACAGCAAATAAATAAGACCTGATGCAAAACAGGGTGTCAGAAATACCAGATAAATCCATCTGTCAGTTTAATATCATTCATCTCTAGAGGACCTGAAGAAGCATCACCAAACCCTTCACATATCCTAAAGCGCTTTTAGAGAGATGGACATCCCTACAAACAACCTTTAATACCCAATTTCAGTGTGGGTTTATTTAGATTCCAAGACTGTCTCCTTACTTGTGGGTATTTGCTCAGGCTTACAGCTACCCCTATGGAAAGAACTAGAGCAGCTCCTACTGGGGAAACATAATTATGTCTTTAATTTCAGTGAGGTGATGCCACAGGTTTTGACAGTTGTGTAGATCTAACAGGACACAGTAACGCTGCTTTAGTAACAAAAGTAAAAAAAGGAAAAGGAAAAAAAATTACCAACAAGCTCTGTTCTTTGCGAAGGGGACGTAATAAAGGATGGAATTTTCTGCTGATCTTTGTCCCTTGTTGATGAGAGGGAATCCAGTTGCATGGAGTATGGCAGGGTCACTGGGGAGGTGTTCTGTATCTGATGACATTAATTTACACATCAGCTTTTCATTAAGAAAATGGATTCTCAAGCTGTAGGACCCATATTTTGTGACTGGGCTGAATTTATTTTGCTGTGTTCCTGTATAATTGTGTGCCCAGGTGCTGCCAAAAGCACACGTTATGGCCACCCCTAATGAGCCATGTCAACCTCCACCCCCCAATTAAAAGGACCAGGCTCCTTTTAAGAGTCTTACAGCGAGTAATATATTTTAGTTATTGACATATTTAGACAAGATCTGAGAGAAGAAAATTTATGCCTAGATCTTGTCCTGTTCCTGAGTCTGGGGAAGTTTGCTGTATGTGGGGGAGTGATGGGGTTAAGCCTGTACTGGGGCAGCCTCTCGGTTCTGTGTTTCACCAGGTGCCTCTGTCAGGGCTTCCTGGGCACAGAGTGACCTCAGCTGTGACAGCAGCGATGGACAGAGTACAGAAAAAGAATAAATATTTCTAATAGGGTAAAATCAAAGCCATTTCTGACTCCACATCCCTCTGCACACTGGCTACATCTGCAGAGATCACACGGACCATTTCCATCCCTCTGCACACTGGCTACATCTGCAGAAATCATACAGACCATTTTTTTTTTCTTTTCTAGAAAGTACTGGATCTCTATTTTATTTTCTTTTTTACAGGCTGCAGGCAGGACAGCAGCAGGTAACAAGATCCTCCTGCACAGCTTTGTTACTTTTGGCCTGAAACTGTCTCCGTGTCCAATCACTCTGCCAGATGTGCTTTTGTCTACAGTTTGTCCCTCTACAGAACTCCTCCCAGAAATTGCCGATGTGTTTTCTGGTTCAGCACAGGGGGATTTACCTTGAAGGTGGCAGTCCTCTTCTCTCCAGCTAGGACATATCCCACGTCGAGTACTTCTCCCACAGAGCAAACAATTGTTGGCATCACCCCACGACCAGTGATCTTTAGGGTGAGACCGGTTTTTGCCGTCCGGATGTCCAGCACATCAAAAAACTGCCAAGAGGATGTCTGCATCAGCCCTTCTGCTGAAGGAAAACACCCCCACCCCTCCCACAAATGGGCCATTACTACTGCATTTAGTGTATAAACAAAAATCCAAGTGTTTTTCTTATTTTTATACAGCCTCATCCCAGTTCAGCATTATGGACATATTACACAGCCTGTTGCATCTCTCCTCTTTTCCCCCCGTTACTCTGGTATCTGTTACTCACCCATTCATTGCCATGTGGACAGAAGGAGATGACGAGGGTTTTATTTTCACCTGGCTCAAGCATTTTAACTGCTCTGACCAACAGGAAGGGCCCATTGGGATTCAGAACTGAGAATCCGAGCTAAAATAGTGCAGCTCAAGGAAAAGAGTTTAGAAACAAACATTGGGGAAAAAGATACAAAAACAGATTCCAGCTACTGTTTAGACCAAAGATGTATAAACCAAGCGTCTGTAAGCTTTTTCAGAGATCAATCACTAAGAGAACAGAAGAACTAATCCAATTATTTTTTTCCACAGAATTCAAATAGTTAGAAGATCCTTTTCCAGTTAAGAAAAGCTCTATGTAACTCCGTGTTCAGGTTTTGCCTGGAAAGGGTCATTAACACCCTGAGACCAGGGACGTGCCTTCTCCTGTGTTATCCCACAGCTTAACCCAGACACACCAGTGCAGCAGCACCTTCCCACAGGTATTCAGGAATTCAGAGCAGCATCGTGCAAAACTGAGTTGTTGGTTCTGTTTCACACATCTGTCATCCTGAACTGAAACTGCCTTTGTCATCAGCACCTTATACTCCTTAGAAACTGGTTAATTGCTTCTCAAGTCTGGCGCTCTGCGGAATCCTTGCCAGTTAAGAGAAAAAAAATTAGCTTTCCAGTAGGTTACCTGTGAGTCTATTCCTCACATCACCTCCTGCCTCACTCCAAAAGATGTGTATTAACTCTGAAATTTGCTACCTCCTACTTACTTTAGTGTCAAACAGTTCCTCCTACAGGTAACGTGTCAAATTAACCACAAACAAATGGCAGATTAAAATACATGTTCCAAACAAGGATACTTCCACCCGCTCCAGGGAGATGTTCTGTATTGTAATTTGCTTCATCGTTCTGTGGCCTGAGAGGAATGAAAACATTTCCAGAAGTGAGGATGCTCCCTCATGCACTACCATTCCTCCTTTTTGCTCATCCTTCTCCCTGGGCCAAACATTCATTCCATTTCTATGGCTAATGCATGAGTCAAAGCTTTCAAATTTGGACAGAGATTCTGATTCCATGTTTTGGGATCAAGACTGCTTTTTACGTGCCTCAGTTGGCCAGATCAGCTACTAATTTTTCACCTAAATATCTCTTTTGGGGCTAATTTCTACACTGACTTTTGAAAAATCAACTGAATAATGTAAAAGAAAATGCAGAACCATGTTCAGAAGAAATTAACATCAGACAGAAAAAATTCAAAGCTTGAATTCAAATTTCATACCTACTGCAACGTCACCAAAATTCACTGTGTTTTTTCCATGATCTGAAGTGACCACAACAGATGGTGCTACAGCGGGACAGTGCAGCTCCAGGTACAGGGTGTTGTAGGGGCTGGAGAGACAGAAAAAGGATATTTGCTTTTGGATAATACACAAAAACTATTGTCAAAAACCTGTTCTTACTCTGTTCATATCCTAGGAGGACATCTTTAAAGTTGCAATTACAAAATAATACATAATTTTTCATGGCTGACTTCTTTATGTGTGCCCAAGCAGAAAGATCATCTACATCTGGCTTCATTTTTTAAATACAACTATTCTTTAAGCTGCTTTGCTATTCATGTGTTTGATTCTTATCCAACTAGTGGGTTGTAAGCATGAGTTTCTACCACTGACCTATGATGTAATTAAGATCAGAAAATAAATTTCCTCCCCAAATGAGTAAAATTCACGTGCCTGCCATTTCCCTCCCAAATTCCCCAAACTGCCAGGAATCACAAATATCTGATCACAGATACCTGTAGCTCAAGTTTCCGGAGCCTTTCTTTTCATCGATACATCCACTCGCAACAAAGCACGGTATGATGTATTTTTCAAACCTCCCCCTGAAATTTCTCCTCAGGAAAGCCTGGGCTGCCATATAAGCATCAGAACTAGAAAATGCAGGAATAAGAGTCATCTCAGTGAGAGAGCAAGAAAAAAAATAAATCAAATAAATGTCTACTGAGCTATTTGTGTTTCCTGTTTCTTAGTCATACATTCAAAATTGAACATAACAGTGAAACTAAGCAACTGTCTTGATGCACTGTGATAGACCCACCCTACTAAGAGGTTTGCTTTTCTTGCCAAAAGAAATGAAAATTATAAACCCAGGTAATAGATGTTATACTAAAGATTGAAAAATCCTCAATACAGTTCCCTTATGCTGAATACTTCAAGTATCCCAGTGTCTTTCAGTATTTCTACATCATTTCAATCATATGTGAACACATGTGATCACATTTCTGTAATGCAATATGCCAAGCAATACTTCATAATTGGAGTCTAAAAATAGAAATTTTATTTTTGAGCCGTACTGAAAGTATTAAAAAAATGTAATTAATAGATTGCAATGAACATGGGATTTTAGTCAAAAATATCCAACATCCAGAACAACTAATGCCTGGTGTTTAAGCATGTATTTACTTCCAAGCATTGCTAAGTTCCTCCAATTAGGCAGAAGTGTGGTTCTAAGAAGTTGATTATCTGACAAACAAGAGACCTCAAGCATCAGATTTTGCATTTAAGTATCCAAGTTTCTAGAGAGCACAAATTATTAATGTTAATTCTCACTGAGGCACACATACTGTAAAATGGCCATTTAAAATGCCATTTTACAGAATCACGACATTTCCAGGGCTGAAGATGACCATGACTAATATAACGGACTATGTAAGACCTTAAAATAAAATAAATTTAACCCAAAGCCATGGCTATGGGCCCTCAGATGGCTGCCATCTGTATTCGGTCTGTGAGACCTCTTCAGAAAAGGTCTATGAGGAGTAGCTTCTTTTGGTAACTAAGTTGAGCTTTCTAGTTGCCCTTTAAAATAACACCCTCCTTGGTTCAGCCAAATTTCCCCAAAGAGCCCCATCTCCCTCTTTCTGAGCTGTTCTTTGAAGTCTTCAATCCCTCTGATGCATAAAGGGATTCTTTGCCTACACGAGAGGGTACAGCTGTGTGGCTTAAAAGCAGCGCTAATTTTGGAAACAGCCTTTGCAACACAGCTAAAGCTATTTCTTCTCTCCAGTTTGCTTTCTTCTCCACCTATAGGCTTTAGTAGATTTATTAAACCATTTAAAGACAACGTTGTCTGTGTAGTACAAGATGCTTTTGCTGACTTACTCAGGCTTTAACTCTTCATATTTTGGGCGTTCAGAGCTCTGGAGAGAAGTTGGGTGTTTGCTGCCTCCATCCCTTGGCAGCTGCCGGGCAGATTGCTGTCTGGACATGGGAATGGTTGATTTCTTTCCCTCTTTTTTTTCATCTTTCTTTCTTTTCTTCAAATACACACAGGGAGACGTTATCTGCTGAGGGTCATCCTTGGAATCCAGAGAAGACACCAGTTTAGAAATACACAGTCCCTGGCCCAAGGATACAGAGCCTTGTATGTGGTGGGGGGTGACAGGTTGCTTGAAGCAAGGGAACAGCAGTGGGATTATGGTCACAAGCCACAGACATGGGAGTTATTACACACATTTCCAGTAACAAAATTAAATTGAAAGGGGCATATTTTACCCCAGAATTCCTCTATTGGAGCAAATACAAGACTCATAGGAATTTTACTTATTTATCTCATAATGAAAGACAACCATAGGTGCTCACATAAATTAACTCACAGCATTGCATGTGAAGTCCATTTATGTTGTAAATCTGCACAAAATGTAGAATGGTTTTTTTAGAAGCACTTGCAAGGAAGTCCTCTAGGAATACTTTTGAAATTGTTAGCAGGAAATAAAGTCATTGCTCAGTGAACAGGCTACACATTAATGCAAGAGCAGAGTCATTCTCTTGCCCTTTATAGGCAGGTCTTGCATGGATCAGGAGTTTGGGCTTCATCAATATGCAAATAATTTTATGATAAAAATACCATCCAGAAACAAATATGTGGAAGTACGAGATCAAGAGCACGTGCTTGTTCTTAGTGTTCCTTACTTGCATTTCTGCCCCTGCTGCAGCTGCTCTGCAGAGCCTCCGAACTGCCTCTTCTCTGATCTGCTGATCCGACAGCGTTGGGCTGAAGGACACTTGAATCAAGCTTTTCTGGGAGCGAGAGCACAGACAAGAATGAGAGGCAAAATCCAGCCCTCAAACATGTTTTATACCTAAAACACTCAATAGGAGCACGTACTTGTCAGCAAAAAATTAACAAACTTGGTTAATTAAGTTAATTAAAATTAACTTGGTGGTGCTCAGTTAACAGTTGGACTTGATCTTAAAGTGTCTTTAACCAAAATGATTCTAAATTAAATACAATTTTTTTCCAAGATGATCCTAATAAGGTGACTTGCAGGGTTTTTTTGAAAGTCCACTATGTTAGGGTGGGCTGGTTTTATGTGACCAATATTTTTGATGTTTAAATAAATCATGGTGACAACATTGGGGAAATAACATTCGAGGTGAAAGCTCCCATAAAGCGTTAGCCAGTTAAGATGATTAACCCCCCCCAGATTTTAAAACATTTCAAACAATACAAAATATTCCAGTCACATTTACAAGTGACTGCATTTGTAGGGATGCAGATGACCAAAAGATTTGGCAGAACACTCGATGGTTAAAGTGAATTTACCTTCCCAGGCAACACAGTTCCAACTGAAGGTGTAATTGTTATGGGACAGGTCTCTGGCACATGGAACTCAAAGGAAGTTGGTCCAACGGGGGCAGCTTCCCCTTTGCCAATTCTTGGGACAGGATGAGTAAAAGGGTTGACGCTCACATGGGGATTCATCACGTAGAGCGTGGCTGTGGACACCCCGTCTAAAGCTGTTGCAGCAAACTGAACCAAGGAATGAGACAATTCAAGAGGTGGGTGGACTCCAACCGCTTTGCATGACAGCTTGAATTGTCTAAAAATAAACACATGATAAATTGTCTCAGCATAAAATAGTCTCTTAATCAGCCCGGAAAATAGGGAACTAATCCTGTAGTCCCTATTTAAGCAGAATTTCAAGCTTGCAATGGGAATTTTGCCTAAAGATGAACAATAATACTATCTATTTTTAATGCACAATTGGCTAGAGTCCCTACTTGAATTCTTCCTCTGTGAACTTCTGGAAATACATCCAGTCAAATCAAACTTTATACCACCATTATTTTAGTAGCGTTAGCTTAATGTACAAAGCATTTTCAGTAAAAAAACCAAAACCAACTACTTCAGTAATTCACCATTATTTTAGTAGCGTTAGCTTAATGTACAAAGCATTTTCAGTAAAAAAAACAACAACTCCTTCAGTAATTGTGCTGAAAAAGCAAGAGAAGGTTGCAGGTGAAGACTACCTGGAGCAAACTTGCAGCTTGGATATGGGACAAGGATAAGTTTCAGGTGGGACTGGAAAAGTCATCTCAGTAAAGACAGACACTTAAATGGAGAATGAAACTAAGAGGTACTGAGTGACTCTTGTCAACTGGAGAATTCCTACCTGCCTCCCATCTTGATCCTGGCCTTACCTCCTCTAAATAGGCAGGGATTTAATTCCTGAACTACCTTAACAGTGGAAATCCAGTGGGATTTAGATTTCTAGATTACCAGCTACTCATCAGTTTCTTAACATACCTATTAATCTCCGACTTGCAGGTTAGTTCGAAGCTGTACTCTTTGGCCTTGTTAGCTTTAAAGATTATATCCAATGTCAGGCTTTCAAGAGGAAGAAGAATACCAAATCCATCATTGGGCTGAATTTCAACAAACTTCAAAATGGTAGGATAAGAAATTATTAAAGTATGAAATTATTAACAAATTAAAATAAGATATTACTGGCAATATAAGAAAATGTTATTAGATGTACACATATCAGGAAAACAGAAATCTTCTAGCAAGAAGCTTTCACCTGAGTCAGTGACTAGTGTCTGCCTGAGGTGCAGATTTCTAATCTCTAAGTAACTTGAAAGGCATTAAATCCATTACCTCAGACTTCAGTACAGTCTCTTCCCCAGCTTCTCACCATCTATGATAATCACCTTTTGCTAATGAAGTCTATCAAATTTATTCAGTTTTCTATGAAAAGTAAATAAAGATATCAACAGTTCCCCTGTATCTTTGAAGGGCTGATCCCTGTATGATGTGCAGGTACCATAGTGACAAGCACCAGTTCAATATCTACAAATGTATACTGGTTTGTGTTTGAGTTCATGATGATTCACAAATGTCTCCCCATCGCATTTTAAGCTAATCATGAAACACATGCTGTGAAGTAAAGCTTTAACGAAGCTGAAGGTGCCAGTTTCTTTTAGCAAACTCCTTGATTTTAATCCCTAAACCAGCAGAGGAAGACAGAACGCCTCATTAAATGTCAGGTTCCTCTAGCTCCGATTCCAATATGCTAAACCATTTCACACCGTGATCATCGTGCCATTATGAAACCTGAACAGCTAACTTTTTGAGAAAAAAAAATTAAAAAATTCAGTAGAACTAGTCCACACTGAACTGGCAGCTCCTGTGATTAATTCAGCTTCCACATCAACTTACAGTCACTCAGAAAATACCTAGGCATGGTTCGGGGATGATTCCCAATAAGCAGTTTGGACACAGCCATCCTGCTTTCAAGACAAAGCCTTTAGGGATTTGGATGCAAACTGTGTGCTATTCCTGTGCCTCCGGGCCAAAGCAGCTCCCCTGAGGCTGCTTCATGCAGCAGCGTGAGGGACCTGTCAGTCTGAAAGAAAAGGGCACCAGGTCTTCTGCTAGGAGATTTCTGGGTGTAAATGTAGATATTCTAATGAGATAAAGTTAGCCTTATGTAGATGAGAATGGTAAAATCTCCTCAAAGATGTTTATACTGCTTGGAAAATGCTTAGGGTATAATAAGATGAAATTTATACAAACCAGCACCAGAACTAATCTGTGTGTTTCCACGGTGCTGCAGGCAGAAGGATTTCTATGAGTTTGCAAGAGCTAGTCAAGATTTATTTACACTCACATTCAAACATGTTTTCATAATAATTAAATATATTTTGATACAAGAAGAGGTGTTTGGGGGATAACTACATACCTCTGGAAGTCCCACAAATCCAAACTCTTGTGGCAAGATGGATTTGTTTGTTAGCTTGATGTTTGCCCGCACAGCTTCATAGATGGTGCAGTACCCAAAATTGATTTGTGCTGGGCTGATTTCCAGGTCAGAAGTAGTAACAATCGCGTGGACAGTAAAATTAACTTTTTTAGCCTGAAACAAATGCAAGAGAACAGGCTAAAAACCTCCATCTGTAGCATTTAAATGAAATGTTAGCCAAAAAGATAACCACAAAAGTTACTCTATCCCTTGACATTACCACAAGTGTACATGTAACACATTTATCCTCAACTTCAGCATCATTGTTCTCCCAAAATAAGCAATAGGAAATTTTCACTGAATTTCACTGAAATGTCTCTTTGATAAGCATAATTAAAAAAATAACAGCTATATCTCAAATTCCATATGCTAGAATGGAATCACACCTGCATCTCCAAGGAATGTAAACTCCAAGAATACATTACATCTGCTGTACAGACCAGAATCAAACCCTTGTGCCATGGGATGGGCTAACTCTCCAGTACAAAATAAACTCCTGGGGAACAGGTGAGCACCAACTAGGCAGGATGTAACTGCCTACATTGTAAACATGCTGACAAGAAGAAACTATCAAACCTGTATTATCACTTTAAGCACCTTTTACTATTATCATTGGACTTCAGCTAGTAAAGAACTCATCTAAGCTTAGGTATCATTAAATGAACACTCACTAAAATTATTTCCATCTACTCTCAGTCTCACAACCAGCATAATTAAGATCACTGACCTTACCCACAATCAGTATCCTCACTGGAACTTCCAGAATTCCTGTCTCTTCATTAAAATATCTCCCTGCATCTTCAGGAAGAGAGCGCCTAAAAATTAAAAAGTACATTCAATTTCATAAAAATATTGTGACTATTTTCTAGCTAAGTGGAATAATAAACTTCTGATAAATGTATTTCTGAAGAAAAAGAAAAAACCAAACTTGTTGCTTAAGTTTTATTATTTACAGGTTTTAATCTTAACACAGTATCTGTGCTCAAACAGGAGTATTCACAAATGTAGCTGGTTAAGCACCAACGCCTCACTGAACACAGAATAATCGGCCTTGGTCATTAATGTTGGATTTTTATTATTTTTTTTTCTTAAAGACAAGATTTTGGACACACAGGAGTTTAAGGGAGTTACACACAGATCTGCATCTGTTTATCCTGTTTTAAAATGCTATCCAGTCATTTAAAATTCTGAAAAGATTTAAATCTTACTTTATAATCAGAATATAAGATTTCTGCATCTTTGCTGCATCCACAGCCCATCACCAGCCTCACCTGGGCAACCGTTTCGACACTGATATTTATTAATTACCAGCCAGTTTGAGGTGGAACCACTTGTATCACAAAGCACAGAGACATAAAGTGAAACAAGCGTAGAGACTGATCTGTCTGATCACACCAGCCTAGTAATTTATAAGAAATATGCATTTTTCTGTAGCAGAAGCATCTTGCTCTCATACGCTGAGTTTCAGAGCTGTGAGCCCAGCCAATACAAAAGCTCCAGCATTTTTAGCTCCACTGAGCTATTTATAGCATCTTCCAGCACACGAGGGAATTGCTTCCTGTTCTCAGGTCTCCACAGAGAGAACGTTCCTACTACTACTACTGGAATTACAGTCAGTTTTTAAATGTATTGTTAAAGAATAGTTAATGAATAAATAGCACCCACTCCGTCACCACGGTGATCTCAAGTCTTGCTGCCTCTTAGTTTGCAAGTCTGAAACGTGACTTTAGAAGGTGGTTTTCAAAGGTATTGCTGCCTTGTTTAAAGACAGGAGTTAACTGGAGTTAAACCCAAGGAACTAAGTATCAGCTTTCGCTTTGTCCCAGCACATTATAACAGCAGAAGAAATTAATCTATTACAAAATAATCCAGAAAGAAAAAAAGTGTGTGTGCACAGTGACGGTGACTCTAAATTAGCTGTTATGCCTCGGGGGAAAGATACTGAAATTCTTCAGATCATCCTCTGAAAATGGCATCGTCATGCTTAAAAGCAATTAAAGAGAAGCATGAAAGACAAATCAGATTTAGACTGCCAGAATCTGCAGGACTAGTTCCAAATGCAAAAACCTAAAAGATGTGGTATTTGGGAATTGTGAAAGTCAGCAAATTGGAGAACTTGCCTTCAAATAAACAGAAAGTGCCTGCTTCAATCACTCACAAAGTCAGGAGTACTGTAAGCTCTGACCAAGCACTTCAGTGTGCACAGAACACTTGGGAGAACTTCCTGAGCCTTCAGGCATCTAATCTATTACAAAATAATCCAGAAAGAAAAATAATAAGTGTGTGTACACAGTGACGGTGACTCTAAATTAGCTGTTATGCCTCGGGGGAAAGATACTGAAATTCTTCAGATCATCCTCTGAAAATGGCATCGCCATGCTTAAAAGCAATTAAAGAGAAGCATGAAAGACAAATCAGATTTAGACTGCCAGAATCTGCAGGACTAGTTCCAAATGCAAAAACCTAAAAGATGTGGTATTTGGGAATTGTGAAAGTCAGCAAATTGGAGAACTTGCCTTCAAATAAACAGAAAGTGCCTGCTTCAATCACTCACAAAGTCAGGAGTACTGTAAGCTCTGACCAAGCACTTCAGTGCGCACAGAACACTCGGGAGAACTTCCCGAGCCTTCAGGCATCTCTTTGTTCACTTCGTATTGCTGAATGAGTTTTTCTTTTTACTTTTCTGTTACTTTTAAAATGGCTATGCTATTAATATAGCTTATAATACGAAGTCAGTGGGGAGGCACTTGCAGAGACGTGTCACTGCCTCAGTGCCTCCCCTCACCTTGCTGCCAGCTCAGCTGTCAGACACACACTTCCCCTGTCTCTCAGGTCTTTTAAAACCCAGCCGTAGACTGAAATAGCCCGATACTTATTTGATGTGTCAGAAATGCCTTAATCTCATCAAATCTCCTTTCTGAAGCTTCCCCATTTTTCAAAGGAAGATTAATGTTCTAAATCCAAGCTCTGCTTCTATCCACTCAGTAACAGCGCTTCACAGCATCCGAAGTTCAGGAACTGAAAAATGTCATCATAATGGTTACTCTTGTTGTAATCTGATAGGATTGAGATGCTGGAAGAACTGTAAATACTTCTGAATACTAAGCTGGTGAAAGTTTCACAATCAGTCATTTGACTCCTGATTTAGAATCCAGAGATGCCAAGCACATCAGTGAAAAACCAGATACACCGACATCCGTGGGACTAGATAACCTGCATGAAGAAAGCAGCAGTTTTGCAGCAGCAATCAGTGCAAGTGCTGCTGAAATATTTGGCTGTACACCAAAATTAAGATATATATAATTTAATTTGTATTTGAAAATTCATGTCCCACTAAATTCTTCAAGATGGCAATGGTGAGGTAAGTAAAATTAACAGTGGTCAACAGGAACTAATGGATTTAAATTTTTAAAAACTAGAACTCTTTGTTTCTTATAAGTGAGTTATGTTTGTGTAGGTGGATGTATCATGAAATGGAGAAGAGAAACTTCCTGGGATAAGGCTTTTAGGATCTTAGTAAATGTTATAAAAAATGAAGATCAATAAATTCATATTTTGGAGAAAAATGTACCTGGGCAGGAGAGATACAAACAGGAAGCCCAACCATTCTTACCTTAATTAGCAAGCACAGGACTTCTTGTCCAGAAATGATTTAATCAGTGATGCATGAAGTAGCCACCTGGCCTAGAAAGCCTCTCTCTTGGATAAGAATAGCTTCCCCGCAGAAACGGGAGCAGCCTCCCAGGAGCGCAACTGCTCAGCTTTTCACACTGCTGCTGTCACCACAGGAAAAGCCTTTCCTGGCAGGTACAGGATCCAAGCTCATTTCCTCCTTGAGCATCTGGCAACTTTTATGGGGGGAGAGGGAGGGGACAAGGACTGCATTGACACCAGCAGCGTCAAGTCCAGCCCGCTACAGCGTGAAGGAAGAAAAATCTTTGACCTGCTCAGGTTTTCCACTGACAGCTTCCTACGGATAGCCTCTTAAATACTGACAAAATTAACATTGTTTAGTTACCTGGGCAGAAACTTCAGCCTCAGACTGAAGGATGACTGTGCTTGGATGTAACCCGTTTTTGGAAGTAGCTCCATGTGCTTGCTCAGTTCTCTGCATACTTCAAACTTCAAACACAGTGTGGCTTTTGCTCTGCAAACAGATCAGTTGTGCCTAGGTGGCGTTTGCTCTCAGTTTGATCCCCCCCAGATCCCCACCCCGTGCATCTCTACTCCACATCACAATTATAACTGTTCCAAGCTTCCTTTGAAAATGATAGGCATGTAAAACTGCTACAGCAAAATCACGCAGTTGTATTCTCTTTTAAGATAAGTATAGAAAACAAGGCTTTGGAAGTACTATAAGTAAACCCAGCTGTATTTCAAGCAACACACGCAGCTGATGGGAACATAATTATCAAAGTGCAGCACAGGGGTAAGTCAGGTCAAGGGAAAGTCAAAGCCAAATTATTGTGAAATATCAGCTAATTATATGCTTCTAACATACGTTCCCTCTATCTGAATCAATAGGAAGCCCTCACTCAATGTCTGAGGCATCTAATTGGTCTGAGCTGCAGCACAGAACCCGTGCAAGATGGAAAAGGAGTAATCTTCTTGTACTGCTGGGTCCAGGCTCTGTGACAATTGGTGGCGGGTGAGATTGCAACAAATAAAAACCTGTTATTCTGTCTGAGAAATAGGAAAATGAAGACCAGCAACCCCCGGTTGCCAAGGGGCAAGGATACCTAGACACTGCTTAAGTGGCTAATGAGCACTTCATGTCCAGCCTGCAGTCAGAAGAATCAAGAGAATGAACCTGAAAGAGAATGCTACACCTACAACATCAACATGCACCAGTTTGTGAATTCAATTCATCCTCATAATCACCATCATTATCTCAAATCCTTCAATACCAAATACCTTCAATACCAGCTTCTACAAGCATAAAACCCCCTCAAACTCAGAGAAAGAGGGAGGGAGGGCTGTCTTATCTATCAGAGACACACTGAGAGCACTGCTGGTTTTGGGTTTTCTCCCCAAAACCGTGGTGGTTTCTTTCAAATAATGTGAGTTCACAGATCTCTTGTAATGTCTCCCCTAACAGCAGAGATTCTAGAGGGCTAAAATCCACGGTGTGATCAGTTTGCCCTATGGATAGCATACTGGAAGCCAGGAAACATCTCTCTGTTTACTGAATTGTGGCCATGTCAGAATACAGTGCTAGCCACAAACCATACCCTGCTTCGGAATTTTATGCCTGTGTGCAAAATTGCCAAGCAATTTACAAATATTTCAGCTTGTCATTTTCCTTCTCTTGGGCTGGTTTACAAGCTGTCAGTCCAGATGGTCTGCTCTAAATCAACAGCTCCAGCATGTGGTACTGGGAGCCTGGAATGATTTCTGACTGTTGACAATCTAAGAGAACTATATACTACTTCATTAAATCAGTGCAGATTAGAACCTGCCAAAGAAATTACTTTTCAAAGTGATTTATATGGAACAGGATTCTGATAAGACACTTTCATCCTTTACGCTGCTTATTTATGCTTCCTGATTACCATATTCTATGTGACCAGAAAAAAGCCACAAAACCCAAACCAAACCCAGTATTAACCAACATTTGCAATTCTACAGAGCTTGCTGGGACACTTATGTGCCAGAGCAAACTAATTTGAAAAACTTCATCTTCTACCTAAGCTATAGCCTACAATGTCATAAATTGCAGCAGCAATATGTACAGGCAAGTTCTTTCCTATGCTGCTTCTGCCAGATGTTTGTGTATTGGTGGTGAATGAAAAACCTACCCCTGGTCTGGACCAGATTTTGCCCTGAAAATCTAAAGATTTCTCTAACTACAGATTTTAGGCTGGGTTTTTTTTTTTTCCTTTTCTATAACTAGTTAGGGATTGAGACAGAAATCATAAGAATATTCCTGAATAGCAAGTTTAAGTATCTAGTTAACATTTAATTAAAGAATGTGTGTTCTAGAAGTTATGCTACTAGGATATCCCTGAACATGAAATATTTTGAATTTCCGCCCAAATGACTGTATAACCAAGACAATTTTTACTAACCATGGAGACTTGGGTGATAAATCAAAGACTTGATTTGCCAAGGTACTGAGGACAGTACACTACATATTAACTGCTCTTAATTTAGGGAGACTTGGCGAAGGATCAGCAGGATTCTTCCCTCAGTCAAGAAATTTTGCCCTAAGCAATTTGACAGCTGCTATCTTTGGGATCCCCTTGAAATCTTAAGTTTTCATTAGGAGAGTTATTCTGTTTCTATACTTAAAAGTTTTATCCCTGGGTTATCTAGACCAAGTAAAATCACTTACATAACTTGTGCTTGTCATATCTGTAAGCTGAATTTCTGAGATAACAGCTTTACTCATTTCTTTCCAACTGTGAAGAATCTCTGCAGTCTGTAATTCTGGTAAGAGGTTTAGAATGGATGCCTTCTACAGAACCCATCTCTCCCCCACCCTCCCACAAACCCACCCCAATCCTATTTAAATAGAACCTAAGAAATGCAAATTGTTAAAATAAGCATTCAGTAGTGACTGCATTAGGTAGAGGGAAGACACCCAGCACCTGAAGACAATTACAAATTCATGTAATCACTCTCTAATAGCATGAAACCTCTGGGAGCCAACAAGCTGAAATATTCTCTTTAAATTCCAGTGCAAACAGAACCAGTCTCCAGACATTACTGGCCTGGACTACAGAAACACCCAGTTACCTGTTTACAGGGGAAAAAGTACTTGGTGACTATCCACGTACTCATGAGGTATCTGTCACTCCAGTACAGTGTTTAATGTACCCCCTACATGGGTTAGGAAAAGCTCTACCCTCCCTATTTCACAGTAAATGCAAAAGGATGGACATGGTTTATCCAGCATCATGTCCCAAGTCTGTTAAGACTGGTGACTGACCCCAATAAAGGACAGTCAGTGTGAGGCTGGCTTCTACACTGTAAGTCTCCCAGGGTCTTTCATTAAAGGTAGAATAGCTGAGAAATAACAGGAAATACAAAATATTCTTTCTTTCTTAAAAGTTTCCTGGGTGAATCAATTATACGCAATGTGCACTTAATTTTAGACACATTCATCTCCCTAATCTTTAGTGTGCACATTCCACATGATGGAACTCCATGGGGTTGCTATTCCCTGGGGACAGTCCCACCACAGAACAGGTAATACAGAGGGAATCTTCCAGGAGTGGACAGGCATGTATTAACCCAGAGACTCCACAGCTACAGCTGGTGTTGGAAGTCTGGGACAGCAGGATACCCAAGTCCAACTTCCACAGAAGTGTGGAACTCCAAGGGCATGTAATCAGGGAGTCCTCCTGAAATGCCAAGGGAAAAACCAAGCTGTTCTTCAGCTTCTTCTGATGACAAGATGGGTCTGTGACAATGGAACCTCAAGACTTAAGATCTCATTGCTTAGCTATAGAAAGAGCTGATAATGAAAACGTTACTCACCTGCTTTGGATGACAATGCAATCCTGATAAAGCCGGTCATACATACAGATCTTTAAATCAACGTTGGGATTGGACACCCAGACCGGGACATCAACAGAAACTCCAATGGCCCTAAAGAACAGCTGTCAATACATAAAGCAAGAGTGTAATTATTTTTGTTAATCTCAACTTCTTACTTATCTAGACAGAGTAAGAATTTCTGCTATAAACTACTGCTGAGTAAAATATTTTATTAGTCATATTACAACAGATTCTCTAATTAGGCAAAGCTATTAATACAATTTGTAAAATACAAACTAGATGTTATGGTGTCCCAGCAGAAAAAAAGAATTATGATTTGGTTTTAATTCTTTGATGGAGAACGTGAAGGAAGAGTGTGTTGCCCTTCATACTGAAAAGAAATACTTAAAGTGCATCCAGCTAAAGTGAATAATAGTTCAGAAACTCAAGAGCCTGCAGCCTGTTTAGCCAGCAAAGAAATGTAGTAATGTACATCTGAGGGAGAGGGCACCCTTAGATACCAAGCCTGCAGCCTGTTTAGCCAGCAAAGAAATGAGGTAATGGCAGCACAGCACTGTAATTCCCATAACGACCTTAGGTCTGACACCAGTGACCACATTGCTCAGACTTTGATAAAATGATCCTGAGGGAGAGGGCACCCTTAGGTACCACCACCAGCAGCTCCTTATGTAGGCCACTCCGTCTGCAGCACGTGGAGAGAGCCAAGGCTGGCCTCCTGAGCTTCTTGGAAGTTTATCTTTAATATTTTGGCAAGCTTCTGTGAACTGTTCCCAGGCAGAATTTGGCTTCCAATAAAGTGTGGAATCAAAATATGCTGAAGTGGTAACTAAAGTTGCCATCTCTTCCAGCTTTCACACATCAGTTTCACTACTGCATGCTAAATAATTCCAATTCTGACATATCCGAAAGAAAATAAACTATGTAGGTTGGCAATAGAGAATAATACTTTTGTATTTGTTTCCAGGACATTAGATGTTTTCCAGCACGACGTCTGATGAAATGGGAGCATCAGGAGTATTTGCACATAAATGTAAGAGAAACAACAGGTTTAATAACCACACTGCATCAGAAAGAAGAGCTGTGATTCTCAAAGTTACCTCCCATCAAACCACATAACACATAATCATGTGGTACCTTGTTATTTCTTACAATGTCCATAAACACAACTTCCTCTACCTCCAACAACAGGTTTAATAACCACACTGCATCAGAAAGAAGAGCTGTGATTCTCAAAGTTACCTCCCATCAAACCACTAACACATAATTATGTGGTACCTCGTTATTTCTTACAATGTCCATAAACACATCTTCCTCTACCTCTTCCTGGTTCTAATATAGGATTCCAAACAATTTTAATTCTTGGGAAAAGCAGTAGGAGAATTTTCAACTCTTTCTCCAAACAATTTTAATTCTTGGGAAAAGCAGGAGGAGAATTTTAAACTTTTACAGTGTTTTGAAGCAAGTCTTGCACAAAATCACTCACTGGTTTGCAGTCTGGGTTGTCAAACGTGATCACAAACTCTGCCTGCGCATCCCCAGGGATAGTTGGGACAAATAGAATCTGAAGTTTGACTGAGCTGAAGGGTCCAATTTCACCTTCAGTAACCTAAATAAGAAGTAAAATGTTTTTAATGAAAATCTGACTGTATTACTGTAGTTGGCCATAAATTGCATTAAAGCAGCAATATTTACTCATACAATCAAACACTCAAGTCTGACATTCTCAGACATTCTTCCTTTTCCACTGTCACTAGAATTTGTATAACCACAGAACGACAGAGCAGAAAAAAATCCGTTTGACAAAAAAATAGGAGAAAAAAAAAGAAGAGAGTTAAATTATTGGAAATGTAAATCTCTACAGAATCTCAACTCGAATAAATCTTTATAGATCAAAAGAAAGAGAAACTGTCATATGATTTAATTTTAAGAATTAATTGTGATATAGTGAAGTCCAGTGGGCTTGGAATTGATCATGTATTTAAGCATTTCCCACCAGAGCCCAAGCAATTTATTTGGTGTAGGCTTAGAGTAGTGAAAACCTTCTCTGCATCTCAAGAAATGCATTACCTTTCCAAGCATAATTTCAACTGGTGTTTCTTCAGGAGAAAGTTCTACATTATGTGCATTGTCTGTGTCTAGAGCTGATCTGGAATTTAATACATCTTGACCAAGTTGTTCTGGGGAAAAAAAAATAAATCATAAACAAACTCCTACAAAATTCTGGATGTGTGTATAGATTCACTAGACAAAAACATCAACCAGAGAAGCACACTCCAGTTCTGCTGCAGAGTAAGAATATTAATGTTTCAGTAGGATAAAGTATGTATCAGAGACTGTTCCATCAAGAATGGAAATTCAGCTGAAAGCGTGAACTGAGCTTCAAGAATAATTTCCATGGGACAAAGCAACGCAGTCAGGAGGACCTGCAAAGCAAGTGAAAGTGCTGCTTCACTTTCTCTTCAAACAACTGTAATGAAGTAATGCATCACGAGAGAGACGAAGCTCACTCTGGACTGGATGGCAGCAATCAACTGGCAACCGTACAGCAAACAGTATTTAAAAATAAAAACCACCCACAACCGTGCCATGGAACTTTTAGTTGGAATGATCAGTATCCCAAAGAAATATTAAAGAATACAGATAATAAAAAAAATTTAAGAAGTCTTTCTTCTACATGACTGGATTTTATTAAGCACATAGTAAACATTAGGAATGAGATGGAGAACGTCTGAGGAGGTTTATCTTTCTGCTTCCTTGTTCCTAGAATTACAGACTATAAAAATAAACCTGTCATGTGGATTTCTATTCTGAGAAGTGGGTATTCAGTTGCTGAGACAAGAATGATAACAATTTTGCAGTTTCTGTACACGAGTTGGATTCTATGTTCTTCTAAGATGGAATTGTTGATCACTAATGAGAAGTGAGATTCTCCGCTGCTTTTGATATAATGGTGTCAGTACGTTATTTTTAGGCACTTTTTAGGCACTACAAAGAAAGATACCATTACTACTAGAATGATGAACTACTTAATTTACTGAGCAACTTTGCAAACTGAATCCCACAGTTCATCACAGGAGACTCTACAAATGGAGAAAGCTTAGCCTGGGAAACTGTACTGCTTGTTTTCTACAATGCTCATCTCACCTGTGGAACCATCTTTCCAGCTCATCTCCACCCTCTGCAGCTCCTCCTGGGCTGCACTGCAGGGCCTCTCTTCACTATCCTCAGGACAAATTAGTTCCTTCTTTTCAACTACAGATGTCACAGAATTATTGCTGATTTTCTTTTCAGGGATGCAGGCACTGAAGTGTTGAGTAACCTGTTAGAAAACACAGAAAAACCCCATTTTCTGCCGTGACTGTTCATCCAGCTTCTACCAGCTCTGACTTTATCAAGGAGTTGCAAATCAGACTTGTGTCTTCTTGCAACTTTTCCACAAATGTGCTGCACTTCTAAAAACTGCACATTCCACTAGACCTTTATCAATGAGCAGGTTTCACTTTTGCTGGCTGCCCAAAATAGTTAAATAATTCAATGGAAGCAATACAATACAGTGTTAATTATTTGACAATTAACAGAATGAACATTTTTCTAGTGGAAACATGGGCAGTTCTATGTCAAAACTAAATCTGCTAAAACTAGCCTTCTGTTTATCACACACCTACAAAAGACAGAATACAGAAGGAAAACCATGGATACACGCAGTGTTATTTCACAAATTCTTTATTTGAACCACACTTAAGGTAAGGATAGTATGAGAGTCGAAACCCACAGCAAACAGCTCAGCAGTTTCCCTATACATACTATTTCATGTCGTGTTTCAAAAGAGAGGTCCTTCAATTCATTTAATACTGTTTATTATTACAGTTTTCAGGCAACAGCCCTCAAAGTAATTCTTAGTTTGACTAAAAAGATTTCTTCCCTTGTAACAACAGCTTGTCCGTAGCTCTGACTGTTCTTTTGATAGGAAATTTGAACAGCTCTGAATTTTTAAAGGGAGATCACAGGCTAGTGCTCCCAGTTCTCCTTACCTTATTGCTAGTTGTGCAGCAGTTTGCATTTTTCTTAAGTCTAGGAGCTCAGATTTTAAATTACTGTCAGAATCTCCTCTTTTAACTAAGTATTTTTTCCTAATTTTCATGGATGTGGAGGAAATAGCAAAAAATTAGCATAATAGTCATTAGCATATATGACTAACATGTTAAAAAAATTATCATTGTTGGTTTCCCTCCCAAATAACTGTTTTAAATTTTTGTGATACTTGTGGGTCTAACAGATTACACTAACATATGCTAACCCAAACAAACTACTAAAGGTTGGACCAATCTTCCAAAGTCCCTTCCAACTTGAGCCCTTCTACGATTCTGTACAATTCCACCACACTTAGTGCAGCAGAAGGTTTCTATCAATGTAGGGAAGTGCTTTTGAACCTACCACTCTTCCAAGAGAGGGTTTTGCTGTTGCTCTCTGTGTACTGCTGTCACCTGCTGACGGCTGAACTTTGAATCTTGTTCCCAAAGCTCCGCTGTTTGTCAGGTTGATGGTCCGTGAAATTGTCTCTCCCACCACATGGCTGCCAAAGTCAATGAACTCTTTATCTAGTGCCAGCTGGGAGAAGATAAACCATTAATTACTACTGTCCTAGGTAGTCAGTAACGTCAACTGAATGAGCATCCACCTTTTCAAGAACAGGACTTTAAAGCTCTTATTATCATTTCAAAGACAGTATCAAACAACAACATGAACTGGGGGTATCCTCCTGCCTTTTTGTAGCATCCAACTCATTAAAACAATGTCTTGTTGAACTGAGCCACTTCCCTCTCAGCCCATGATATGACAATGAAAGAACAGGTTAAATTCTGTTCATAGCAGCAGTTTGTGTAAGTCTTCAGGTAGTTACTGTGGAAGTAGGTAATATTTACACACCCAGTCAATGTTGTTGCTCTTGTGTTACAGTAAAGTGGTTTTACTAGCATCGAGCTGAAAAACAAGCTATATTTTACATCATATACTGACTACACATCAGTCTATAATTCATCCTGTCCTGTTTCTTTAAGCTACTGTGGTTTACAACCAGTTTAAAAATACACTACTTCATATAAGATTAAGCTACTGTGGTTTACAACCAGTTTAAAAAGTAATACACTACTTCATATAAGATATTTAATGACTTTGTAACTGGGTATGTAATAACAAGAGGCTTGCAATTCAAGTTCAGGCATCAGAAAGACAAAGACAACTTGGTTGTCTAGTCTCCTGCTTACAGCTGAACTCTTCCCAATTCCAGGGTGTAAAGAACAGGAGTTCCTGTGTGTAATTAGCACACAACGATGGTATGAATTCTCTAGGTGAAAAAAACCTGCTCCTTTGATCAGAGATTCATGCGCTGGCTTTGCTGGGAATGGCATTGTGCATTCTCATTTTCAAGGTCTTTTAATTGAAAACCATCAAAGAGTCCTATCCACACAGTCAGGTTGAAGTATGAAATAGCGATGTGATATTCCAGCTTCCTACAAGTGCTTAATATTAAAGCACATCCTTAAATATTCTGCTATATTGCCAATATCATAATTATAGTGCAGTACCTTTCAGTTACTTCCCCCCCTTCTATTTGCTGTGTAACAGATTATTCTGGATTCATTTCCCTGTTTCAATGTGCAGTCCAGTAAACAAACTTTCCATGCGATCTTATTCATTCAGTTTACTGAAACGTAACAACACAAACTCCAGGCAGACACTCATATGGCTAAAGCCTTTTAAAAATTATTTTTCCATTTTCATTATTAAGCATGCTCCCAATGTATCCCAAATTTTGCAGTTGCCAGTCTCATTCCAATACTGAGCATCTTCTTGCATAACCTTTTTCCTCCAGCATTGTATATTCTCATCTATAATTTCTTTTGGCCTGGGAAGCCAAAGCTGCTCTCAGCTATGAAGGAAGTAATTTAAAAAAAGTTCAAAGTTGTTTATGTTGTCTCACATTTTCTATTACTGTTGTTCTACTGACACTTACAATGTCACTTACAGTCACAGCCACTTACAGTTCCTTAACTGTAACTTAAAGTCACTTACAATGCACCTCTTGGCTGTACATTTTAACGGAACAGAAAAAGAACCTGTCTGTGCCATAAACATGACTTCTCCTTCCAGAGTTTCATTTATCTAGGGGAAAAAAACAACAAACAACAAACCCATCAAGTCATTTGCAAAGATTTAGCTTACGTAGTCTGATGAAAAATACTTTCACTCATTCTCTGAGTAGCATTAAAATTTATCTCTAGGCATCCTACATTTCCACTTTAAAACAGTCTCTGGTACCTGCCTGGCTGACTTTACCTGCACAACACTATCATTCTTCTCCTTTGGAGCAAGTTTCAAACCATACCCCAAGAACACCTTGTGACAGGCATTTTTCTAAAACGTGCCCTTAGAATATGCCTTACAAAAATTTAACAGTCTTCTCGTTTGGAGCAAGTTTCAAACCATACTCCAACAACACCTTGTGACAGGCATTTTTCTAAAACATGCCCTTAGAATATGCCTTACTGCAATTTAACAGAGCTTGAACATTCATACAGTTGACCAAGTACAAAAGTACCTTTTCTAGAAATACAGTATTTTTCCTTATTAACAGCTAAGAAATTAAATTAATGATGTTTTTAATTAGACTAGTGGATTATATTAGGATTGTGTAATTTAGCACCCAGGTGCACTTACCATTGGCTTAAATGTTACCACCAATCCACAAGACATTCCAGAAGATATTTTGCCAGGTGGGTTGAAACTATGGAGATAATTAACATAAAACACCAAATTAAAGCTATGTATGAAACATCCAGCTCCTATTCTGGTAACAATGGCTGATTTTTTTTTCTTATTCCCACCCCCCCCACACTTGGATTAATGACTTAGAAAAATCAGAATGAGTGACAGATTAATGAAAAGCTACAGAACCCTGCTGCAATTGTAAAACTACAAAGGCTGATTCTTTATTGAGGTTTTGCTCAGAAAGCCTTAAAGTGGTTTTAAAAGGCAAGAATTATTGCCTTCATGCTACAGACAACAAGACTGAAGCCAAACAGGTAAAGTCAAGGCTCAATAATATCAAGAAGAGAGTTGCCCAATCTCCTGTTTTGACAACCAGGAAGCAGCCTTGTCCTGATAGTCCATTTTGCATGTCGCTCTATAACATCTCCCCTGGCCAAGTAGCAAACCAAGAGGGGGAAAGAAGGAGAAAAAAAAAAGGTATCTGCAACTGATTAGAGAGTGTGGTGCTTGCTGCAAACTGTATCCAAATTATCTTGAATAGAAACTGCCACTTATTTCAATGCCTCATTTCACGGTCTCTGTGATGCAAGTAAAACGCCCATCAGAAGACAAGAAATCTCACAGCTGCACTCTCCATGAAATTATTAAGGCCCTACTGGAGACCTATTCTGCCTGACAGGAACAGAAAGGAAGCCAAACCAAAGAGACAAGTCAATGTTGTGAGCCATGGGAATACCTAAGCAAACTGAAACACAGAACATACATCCTAATCACAATTTTATCAAAAAAAAAAATTTAAACTCAACAAAAGCAAGATGAAACATTTTCAAACAGAAAAAGGAAACCATTTGGAATTCAGGAGCTTAAAATGTGAATAGGGCAATAAAGAACTGCATACTGACCTTCAGAACATATCACTGGCAGTTTCTCCTGAGAAAGACTAAGGAATTTCAAATGTTACCCTGACAAACTATTTACGATTTAGAGCATAGGCTGCCAAACACACACTGCCCTACACAACAAACAGACTCCCACTGCATGGAGCTGTAGTAATGCTCATTTTAACCATTAGAATATAGCTTTATTTACAAATACAGTGCCTGTCTGTCACTGGTAACCAATATTTTAACCATTAGAATATAGCTTTATTTACAGTGCCTGTCACTGATAACCGATAAAGAGATTCTTTTCCCCTTTTTAAAAGGGTCTGACGTTTTTGGAAAAAAAGCTTTCTGCTTGTTACCACCACAGGTCTGTGTTGCTTCCCACAGATCTGGTCCCTTGCTGTCACTACTACAGAAACCACTGACATGCAGCTCGGGCTCAGTAAAACCTCTTCCTTCTCAGCTCTGAGACATGATTCCTTTCCTCAACACACAAGAATGGATTGTAATCATTTAGATGTATTTACTGAAATGTATTTCATTTGCTACAGAATTTGGTTACATCTCTTGTTGTGGCACACAGGTCAAACAAGCAAAAAGTCTACAGGTAATTTTACCTACTGAACACTGATGAAGTCCTTGAGCCATTCGCTGATTCCCACTAGTCTGCAGAAATTAACACGGTAGGATGCATTTATCAAAACTATCTTCTTTTTGTAGAGTTGACCAACATCAAAATCCTTGGGACATCAAACATACCAGGTGGTGAGAATTACAGGAAGTAACATTTACAGATGTAATGACAAAACCAAGTACTTCTACTGGGATCACAAGCCTATGTGCAAAGCAGATGTAATGACAAAACCAAGTACTTCTACTATACTACTGGGATCACAAGCCTGTGTGCAAAGGATTGTATAAACCCATAAAGCATTGCCTTGCTCCAGACATACAGCCTACAAAGCCTGGAAACTCCTGCTTCATGGATGGGGCAACATTATTTGGGTTTGTGCACAGTAACACACCAAGCTGCTCTGTCACATTCATGTCACATTTTAGACTGTGTGTGGCAAGGACCATACAGATTTTTTGAACGTAGAGCAAGGTGCCACTGTCTTCCAATAGAGATCTGCTGCTTCTGTGTGAGGTACAGGCTTCCAGGTCCTAATAAAAGCCAAACCCCATGAAAGCTGTACACCTGGGCACATCCAGTAACACCCAGCTAAGCAGCATCCTGCAGGCAGACTGGCAGCTGTTCCCCTGGCACAGCGAGAAGCCTTGTCTGATGCATCACACCAGCAACCTTTTCCAGTCCACAGAAGTAGCAGGCAAAAGTAGACCAATAAGAGACAACAATTTTCCTTTTCTTCCCAGCACAACAGAATTTTGATCAAGATATCGGTATATACATCAGTAGATACAAACATTATCTTTTTAGATGCTATGCAGAACGGGCACTAACCTGGAAATGAATGCAACTCGGTTTACTATAGAAAGTACGTCCCTTACATTCACGACCAGACACTATTTGCTTGTGAGAAATCCCCGTTTGGAATTTCTCCAGCTGCTCTGGATCCATTTCTTCTTTGGCCACCTAATAAGGAACATCAGTAAAAACCACCACAGCTGTAAGTAAGTGTGATCACAGAATCCATAGCTATCTCAAGGCAGAAAGGTCAGTGAATGGAATCTCTTAGTATCTGGCCAGCCTGTCCCTGCTTCTCTCCAGATCAAACTCAGCCTCCCAGCTTCTATGTGAAGAATATAATTTATTCTCTGTTGTCTGTTCTGTAGCTTATCATCATCCCACACTATGACATAATGTTTTTAATGGCAGTATTAGCTCTTCTGCACTTAAAGAGTTCTTTTTCCCTCAAATTCTTAAACAAATATTCATTCAGAAAAAAAAAATCAGCTAACTTCACTGGAACATTTCAGTTACGCTCCAGTGCTTCGTTCAGGCAAGTATGTGAATCTGTCCTGACATTATTTCTTTTTACTTGATTATAAAGTCTGCTCTTAAAGGACTTCTACATCTCAAAAAAGCAGTGTATGCAAGTATACCTTAGAATAACAATATCTTAACTCCACAATCCCACTCTATAAGAGTGTACTATTTACTTCTCTTTAGAGTACAGAATACTATTACTTTGCTACTTTTCTTTGCCTAGTACGGTACAAAAAAGTTGTTTCTACATAAAGCAACGTGTGTTGCCAGCTCAACAGAAAGGTGTGTTTAGTTGTTTTCAACTCAAACAAGTGAGAATGGTGTGATGTGTGTCTTCACACATCTCTGAACTAAAATTGAAGTAGTATTTTCTCTTCGAGAGAGAGCAAACTCCACAAGAAATGTCAAACAGCAATTACTCTGATGATATCCTCACACCTCCATCTCTACATCTATGTGATAAAGTCTGCATTTTAACTGCAAAATAGATAATTGTTTTTAAGCAAGGTCCCTAAACCAGCACTTGCCAGTGTCTTTACTACAGATGTATACAGCTGCTGGAGAGGCAAATGAAACTTTTCTAACCCATTAAAATACTTCTATGGATACTGTCAAAATTTCATAGAGACTAACTTCACAAGTCCATTACAAAAGAATCCCACCTGCACTTTTTTTGTCTTTTCTCTTTCTAATAAGAGATATCAGAAACCTTACCTTGCACAAGTCACATTCCTGACCCCAAAGTCCTGGGAACTCCGGTTCCACTAGGACCTTGTCCTTCTCTTCCTCATCTTCATCACTTTCACAGAGCCCATCATGGGATGTTTCTTCAGAAATCTCTCCTACAGAGGCAGTTCTCTCACCAGCTGAGGAACAAGGTGGCGGAGGGCACCACGGCTTTTGTGAAAGAACATAAGTTTTGAAGATACAGTTAAAAATTACTAGAGGACAGTTACTGCAACAGGGGTTTCTGAGGAGATCTTTTAATACAAAAATGGCAGATCTATAAAGCTCAGAGGCCAAAGATGCCAACTTTGGTTGGTCACTTCTTAAGGCACTAAATACTGACAAAATCTTATGTTAAAAGCATCTTTATGACATTAGCTGTATGCTACAGGAGCCTAGAAACTAGTTCTCAGGCATGACAATCCTGACTGTGGCTTTTCAATGTTTTGTGTGTCACAGAATGACTAAGGACTTTGTTGTTTTATATGATTATTTCAACCAATACCCTTCCCTCACCCCTTTTATTTTAAATATCTAAAGATTGCAAGAAGCCAGTAGTTTCTGCAGGGAATTCAATTCATTCTATTTTCCAGATCAGAACTGTTTAGGTAAAAAAACCCATGCAGGAAGCTGTTTCTAGAGAGAACCACTTTCTCCTCTTTAATAGAGTGGAAACGTTTCTCTTGTGCTGACAAACTGATCTGAATCCTTATTCAGGGATGAAGGTAATTAAACTGGAAGCGATGGTACTTTGCATGGGTTTTGATGTCTGTTGCAATTCACATGTTTGAAAGCTCACCTCTTCTAACAAATACCCTTAAAAACACACCCCACACCAAACAGGACAATGTCTTTATTCATCCAACCATCAATAATCAAGAAAATCAAGAACAGTCATTAAGAGATCCAATGGAGAAATTAACTCCACACTTGTTCTGTACTGTCCTGTATCCAGTTGTAGGCTGTTATGCACAGGCAAAGGAATTCACTGCCCTGCACCTTTATAATAGATCTAAAGCCAGTTAATTCTTAGGCCTATATTTACCTGTGATACTGCTCCAGCTGAAGCTTTGCAGCTCTCCTCAATATATTGCCACGTTCTCATTCTCCACAGTACAGAATCCTGAAGTTTACCACCACCCTTAATTGCCTTAGTACAGGACTGACTTCTTTTCGGCTTGTGAATAGCAGCTTTTTCTCGCAAAATTTTAGATACAATCTCAATTTTTCTTGATTTTTGCTGTTCTCTATAAGCTCTGTAATCCAATGTTGTAAGAGATATTAAACCAACTATGGTTGTTTACTGATAGTTTTAGCTACATTCCAGATTCTTTTGAGCTGTTAAGCCAAACGGCAAGTCTTTAAATCGGGTGCAGTGGTACTTTGTGTAAAGACACCAAGCTATTCAAACATTTTATTGCAGACTAAATACATTCAATTACAGTTTTTGGAAGTTGACAAAGCATAACAGTCATCACTACTGAAAACAGAGTTTTTAAATAATTTTCCCAACCTAGTTAGCTAATTAAACATAACTGACTATCTGAAATCCAGTGGATAAAGAAGGTAAGTACTGATCTTGAAAGATATGAATTCAAAGCTACATACAACTACAAATTCGATGACACACTGTGTATTGTGACAAAAATGACAGCAGATAATTTAATCTCAGTTTTAATACCAGCAGTTTAATACACAATTTCCTGCAACAAATATTATCCACACTAATGATCACTTTTAATATAGACTTTCACCTCTTCAATCCATATAAATATTTATTGATTCTAAATAGGAGCAGAGAAAATACCACCTCATTTAAATACAGGTTACTGTCTCCTGAAACACTTTAATATCTGCATTTAGTCCATGATACCCCATTGCACCAGATAAATGACATTGTATTTATAATGTCTTCTTAGAAAATCATAGTACAAATAAGTTAAGCATAGCTATAAAGACACAGGAGTTTGATAAAGATATGAACACTTACTGTTTCTCTTTTTCGTGCTCTAGCAGCCGCTTATGAAGAAGAATTTCCTTGGCAACATTGCCTCCTCCTGCCAGGATAGCTTCCCTCATCTTCATCTCCTGCTTCTTTGCCTCCAAGGCCATCGCTTTGTTCCGAACCTGGCGAGTTCGGAGTTTTTCCTATGAAGCCACACAAACCACAGTTACATATTGGATTCACATATTAAAGAGTTTAAAACATACAATCCTGTATGTTGGTCCCTGTATCTAAGTATAAATTCGTGGTAGATTTCACTGAAGTAGAACGTACTGGTTTTAATATATACAGTAGTCATGGTGTGCTGAGACACAGAAAGCTCTGACCAGGTCAGGGCTACTTCTTCATCCTTCTACCCTGCCCTTAAAATGCTTCTCAATGAAGCTATGTGGAAAGATAGTGTTCTAATCAATCTAGTATTAAATTAAGACCATTTCTTCAGATTCTACAAAACAAATAGAAGAGCAAAGGAGCACAGCTCAGAAATTCTTAATTTACATTATTTAAATTGTTAAGTAGCTGATTTTCTTCCATATGTTTTCTCCATATGAAGTATTTCTGCACTGGGATCCAAATAACTAGAAATGTTGCTGGCTGAGTTTCCAGAGAATTTATTTGTGGTATGCATTATTTTCAAGAGTTACCCTACCAGAACAACTGGATTGTTGACAGAACAAACTCCATAAGCAGAAGTGCCAATATCTGTCCATACAAATCCAACACCGTTACTCCTATAGCTACATCCTGTCCAGGCTCAAGAGAGATCTGCTTGGGGATCTGACAGCATCACCCAACAATTCCACAATGAAAACTGAGATGACTTTCCTGAAGCCCTAGCAGTCTAGCAAGTCGATTTCTCCACTCCCCATCTAAGCCCAGCAGCAGTACCCGATTGGAAGCGATGCTGGTTTTCAGGGAAAGCACAGCTTGTATCCTTCTCTCCATATGCTCCCGAGTTTTCGCTTCTTCCTTTGCATTTCTTTCATGAATTCTATAAGCAAAGTAAAAATCTTTCAGGCTCATATCCTGGAAAGCTTTTAGTATTAGAATGTTTAACCTGACAAGTAGTAATTGTCAATGTCACCGTTCTTCCTGTGTTTACTATGGTACTGGGTGTGGGAAAAGTGGAACAGTTGGGAGACTCTTCTATATACGGTACCGCTCAAGCTCCAAGTGCCAACAGGCTTTCAACTAGTTTGCTCAACAACTTTTTTTTTCTTTTTAATTTTAAATATGAAGAATGTGTTCCACATTATGACATATGTCTAGTTGCTAAAATCAAGTAAGAATTCAGGTGTTGCTCACATAATGAATATCTAAACAATTACGTAGTGAACTTTATATGAGCCAATCACTTGTACCCACACTAAAAATAAGCCCTAGAAACTCTAAAAGCTAGAAATATGTGGGCGTGAATCAAATCCAAGAGTATTCCAGCTAATATAATGGTAAAGTAGAAAAAAAATTAGTAAGATATGTATTTGATAAATTACTCAAGGAAAAAAAATTCTTATTTGGATGTTTTCTTAATTACTACAAATTTGCACATGACATCTAAAGAAAAATAAACCAAGACAGAAACAGCACAAATTACTTCAATCATTTTTTCAATTCAGTCATAATATGCAAGAAAAAGTAACACATTTTAACGCTTTCTTTAGTAGCAAAATGTAACACCACAGTAATTATATAAACATTAACCTGTGAAGAGAACATTTAATTTACCATAAACCAGAAAAGAACAGAAGCACAAAGAAATGGCCCGTCAGCCAATTTTACCAGACAGCAACACTTCAGCGGGAGTACAGAATGGCAGAGAGCAAGGTCCAAACCTGGAATTTAGTTACATTACTTCAAACTACTCCAGTTAATGACACACACATATATAAAATGCTTCAAATCATTAGTAATGCCTACAAGTAGTCAGACTCCTCTGCATCTCATCAAAAAGACAGTTTCTTCAGCTACAGGGAATCCGAGGACCACACGAGAACAGTAACTGGGTTTCCTTCTTTCCAAGTCCTTTCATGCCACGTAAGATTTGAACGCTTCACAGCACTGGTTCTGTGGCACAAGGTTTCTAAGTGTGACAGAAGATACACCTAGCAGAAAAAGTACTACTTTTCAAAGACTAAAGGATAAAGTATTGTACAGCACAAAATGAGAGAACAATAACCTTGCCATGCTTTTTCTCAGAAAGAATACTGCTTTTTTATGGTTCCTTTTGGCATCTTCAATCATTTTTTTATGCTTTTCTTCATACTCTCTCTGGGCTTCCTCTTCTTTTCTACAAAACACAGACAAACCAAGAGTTGCAGCAGGATTATGGAAATGTTGACTCCAACAAAATTACATTTAATAGTGGGGTTGGGGACTTTATTAGTGTCCTGGCAGCCAACAGCAATGCAGACACATGCCGTTAGTCTGACCTAATAAAACTCATTTCCCTAGACAAAACAATTTCACAGTTTTTGTCTTTACCAAGTTTATTTTCATATACCAGAAATCGTTACCTGCAGAACTGCAAGATTGTGGGCAATTCTTATTTTAATTCCATTTCCTCATAAAATATTCCTGAAGCAACACCCAGCTAAGAAACACAATACCACTGGTATTTGGATTAGCTGATCTCCTCAACACCTGAAATCATGAATTGATTAAAAATAACATGGAGAAAGGAAGCAGAGTCTGACTTATAGGCGCTTACTTTTGTCTAGACCGCTGATTTTCTTCTGCTTGCAGTGCTGCTATTTTTTCCTTCCAAATCCGCACTTTGGCTCGTTCTTGGTATTGCATCTCTAGCTCCTCCTCAGATTTTTTAAGTTGTTCATGGAGGATTTCATATTTTCCCTGCTCAGTTTCCATCTGCCACATCTCAAGCCTTTAAAACAAAGTGTGAGCTGTTTTCACCAAAATACTGACATTCTCTCACTTAAGGCCATTGAGTAGGTAAGACTCTATGGTGAAAATTAAGATCTAGCCACGTTTTATTTTGTTTAAATTATATTGTAAGTCATTCCCTGTTACTGACACAGGTATTGTACTTTCAGACTAAGGCTCATATTCAATAGCATATCTCATTTTAAAGACACAAAAAATACCATTAACATTAAAAAAAAGCTCAAGGTTCTGTTTCTCAAATACACATTTACCCAGAAGAAAATAAGAAAAAAAAGAAAATTTAGAAAAATAGCTTTTTCTTCAACAGTAAATAACTTAAGGTTATATTCTTCTGTTTTACTAAAGGAATTTGGATACAATAGGGATACATATAAACAGTATAATATAGTTATTGCTAATAACATAATACACAAGTGAAGCATTTTAACGCTGTTATACAACACTGCAGCAGAACATACTATATTCTGGTTAATCACATCTATAAGCTCAGGCTTGTGTTCTTGCTTTGCTGTGGTGGCATTAGCAGTTGTACCTTTGGTGCCAAAATACAAACACATTCATCTGTTGCCTTATGCAAAAGATAGTTTTATTCTGTCGTATATAAATAAATAACTCAGTATGTGTGAATGCTCAATTACAAGCAACAATATTAGCTTAGCATAAAAATACATGGTACCACTACAATGTCTCCATTCTCAATATCAATCTTTTCCTTTCCACCCTATAAAAACACTAGAAAGCATGAATTATAAGTATTATGCTCATTGAGAGATCAGAATCACAGACAGGTCTACTTCAGTCCAGCTATTTATCCATTTAAAATGAGGTCTGTTAAGGTCCACAGTGTATGCACAACTCCAAATAAAATCAGAACTTCCTTTATGTGTGCAAAACTAACTCAGAAGCTGAGCCATAGCAACCAGTTTCCTAAGCAATGAACTGTTCAGGCTAAAAGTTGCTCTCAAGATCCTTTGCTTTGCAGTCAACCTCACATGACCGCAAATTATGTAGTTCAGTATTTACAAGCAACTTCTATAGCAATCAACTTTTGAAGACATTCAAAAGCATATGAAGACCATAATAAAGATTGACTCCCAATCACACTGTTTTCTTATTCCACTTACATGTTTTCTTTTAGTGTCAAAGAAATTTGCAACTCAAAATCCTTCTCTTTCTCCAGTTCAGTGCACAGTCGTCTGCGCATTGCCCGAAGGCGGGACAAGGCTGCACTGTTAACATCAAAAAGAAACAATCAGAAAGAAATTGGAACTAATAAAGCTTAAAAAATATATCCCTCCCAACAATAAAAAAATAGCTTTGAGGCTGAGATTTATGTATTAGAATTTCACTGAACAGGCAGTACCAACACCCATCACAGGAGTCTCTTTAGCCCTCAACTCACTGTTTTTGTTTAAGCAGCTATTCCATTTTGGCAATTATCCTACCTTTATGATTCTATCATTCATCAACATACTAACTTGAAGATTAACAGAGGTCATCAAATGCAGCTGCGAAGTTTGTTCACAATACACTGGCTCCTGGTACACAAGCCACCCACTTCTTTCTATTTAAACCAAATGTGAAGAGTACAGTAAATTGCCTCCCACTTTATAGCAAAAGTGTTTCAGAACAGCTCCTGTATGCAGGGCTACTCCTCAAAGGAATTCATGCATTTCACAATAAAAAAACAAACAGAAAAAGAAATGGCATATATATATGCAAAGAAGTAAAACCATGACCTCTAAAACTGCCATAGCACATTGGTGTTGGCTCATCATACTGACCAGAAGCAATTGCAACCCTGATAAACATAATTGACAGTAATGGGATAGACTGATTTAATAACCTGTTGCTGTTATATTTAAAAATATATGCCTCTTTCCTATCCATTCCTAAGTTTCCAGCTCCTTCTGCACTGATTTACCTAACAGAGTATTATTACCTGTAGACCAGAAATGATGAAAAAAAAAATAATCAATGACTCCCAAGGCAATGCACCATTATTCTTTATTTCAAAAGGAGGAATTATTGCTGAAAATATGTCAGCTGGAAAGTGACTGCACCATTAGTGTTCCCCAACACGGGAGTGCAGTACCCTTGTATGAGAGCAGCCTTCCAAGCTACTGCAGTCACATCTTAACCTGAGAGTGGCAGTGGGTTTCATCACCCACCTATTAAAATCTTTAATATATGTGCTCAAAAATTCTATCAACTGTTCAACAACATGAAGAGATGAAAACAGGAAAGCTTCTCTCATTAATTACACAGATAATCATAGTAGATGCCTGTAATCTTTGGTATCCAGAAATACTCTCTACCTACACATTGCCAGCCGCCTCCTCTTTCTCTATTTCAATGTCTACACGCTCCAGCTGCTTTGCCAGCATCTCGATCTGCAGCTGACAGGTACCCAGCTTGTCTCTGCAAAAAACAAACAGATTACTTCTATTTTGTAAGTTCTTTACTTCTCTCCCCCCCACCCCCATGAAATTCTTCCTTTTGGGGGCAAGATTCACAGCTAGGACTCCTTCAACCCTCCCAAATTTCCTCCCCGCTTTTTAGGTCTTATTGCAAGGTTGTTAATTTCAAGCATTTTCTCCAAAAATTTCCCCCCTCAAAATGTAATCTTATTGCAAGGTTGTTAATTTCAAGCATTTCCTCAAAAAATCCCCCCCCCCCAATGTAACGAGTTTATTCTGGCTTCATCCAGAGTTCAGACAACAGCATAAACAGCATCTTTTCACATTAGCCTTCTTCAAGTATATTTGCTGCTAAAGAACATCTTTGTGACCTTAACACAGCAAAACACTCATAGCAGGTGCTTATTCTAAAGTATGTGAAAAACTTAACCACTTCTAATGTACCATTCCCATCACAATTAAGAAAACGTTTATAATGAATTTTCCCCTTGATGTTTCCAACTGACTGTTGAACCAGCAGGATTGTACAGCCATCACTGAAAGGAATTAGCATCTAATTATCCCAGACCAAACACCAAACATCTTTAGCATTCATTATTGCGTTTCATTTTTCAAACATGTAATTAATTTTTATCCTTGATCCTTAATTCTTTACAAGGGTTTGGGGATATATGGAATATATTCTATTAAACAAACATTTGCATCATGTAACTTTCATGAAAAAAAATCTATAAATTCTAATGTTCATAATATATACAGTATCCCAGTATTTGACAGTGATTTATGCTGCTGGATTATGTTCATTTAAACACTAACCTGGTGTTTTGGACCATAAATTGCTTTTCTCTGGCGATGTCACTGACCTCTTTCAGGTTCCTCTGAAAGGCTGACATGCAAATTCTATCCATATACTTCCTAGTCTGAATATTGCTGATGTTGCCCAGACAGTGTTCCAAGCTTTCCCTTTGAATTGAAACACACGATTAACAATTAAAACATAATGAGAAATTGAAAAGTCACATGAAGTTTGTATGTCATCCACTTATGCATTTGTGGGTTAATTGTTTTCCATTTTACTGAAAATTATCACCATCTATAGAGGAAGTTTATATGTACTTAACCCAAGCTTTTTAGACTTAGATATCTCAAGTTGAACATTTATACCCACATTTAATGCATTAGTTATACGTCTTTGTTTTGAAATGCCCGTGGCTCCTCTTGATTATACCTCAGGTTTGCAAATTCTAGTTTCCCTGAACAACAGTTTAAAACTTTAAAGGGAACATTCTAAACTAGTTTAAAACATATTATATACAGCTGATCAGTTTGTGGAGTGAGCTAATCTGTCTTTTATTTGTCTGCTTAAACATACTGCAAGAAGAGGTCTGAAAGTTCCGTTTTGTGTTGGTTTGGTTTTTTTAAAATCATTTTGGTATATTTTGAGTTTCTCTGTTGATAATGGTAACGCTGTCAAGATTTACTGGCAGTAGACGTATGTGCTATTCAACTTCCCACATACATACATTAATAAATATTATTTGAGCTTTTCATCCTGCCTTATAACCCTACACCAGGTTATTCCAGGGCAGAGACTAAGAGTGCTGTCAAAGTAAGCCAAACTGCTCTGATCTCTGTGAAGAGCACAGCAACTACTTACAGCCACATTCAAATCACCAAGTTCCTTTTCACACATGACTGCTGCTACATCTAAGTTCATTTCTTCAGGAATAAATCTGCTTTATCACCTACTTGTAAAATCAACCTAGTACTAATCTATCATCATACCAATTCTGTGTTAATTGAGTTTACACAGTGGTACAAAACACAGTATATATTTTTAAAAACCCTACAATCCAACACTGCTATTCTTCAGCAGACAAATTTCTCTTTTTCCAACAGCTCTTGATGTTCTACAAGTAGAGAAAGATAGAACACAACAGTACTTATTATTACAGAGAGCTGCCTGGGTTTTAGAAGTGTAAATTGGTTGGTGTAGTGCTCCTTTGAGGAGAGCCAATTAGCCCACACTGAAATGTGCATGCCTACAACAGCTTCAGATTAAGAAGTGTCCAGTCTGCCTTTATCTTACTCAACTCATTGTTGTAACAGTAGTAACCAATTTAATTTATTTTTTGTGGAAAGGTCTATATTGCCTATGACTAATTTGACAAAAATGCACAGCTGAATTAACCAAACCTTCACTTGAAAAGGTAAGGAAAATAAAGGAAGATACTGTTGGAATTAGTAACAAAACCGCAAGTTATTTACATGCTCGAATCTGACTGGTCTCCAACTCCTTCAGAATCATCCTCGCTTCCTGTCTTGCCACCACCAGCCAGCTCTTCTTCAAGCTTGGATTCTAAGAGATGTTAAAACAGTTTAAGAGGGACTTTGAGCTTTAAACACAAAGCTCTACTGTACTTGCTGTCAACTCAAAACGTGGGGAATCAGAGATGACATTTTATAGCATTACTGGAGCCTATATCAAAACATTTGCACAGCGAAACACACAGGACTGTTGTCCACCTGCAAACCAGAGCAGGAAAATGCTCTCTGCCTTCATTAAAGAATTGTCACCAACAAAAAACAACCCCAAAAATGTGGGGGGCAGGGGGTAATGTTTTGACAGGTTTTGGCCAACAGTTTGTCTATCTTACACTACCTTACCCTACTGTACTGGGGAGACAAAATTTTTGTGAAGTATTTACGTGATCAAGAAAACATTGAGAATAGAATTGCCAAAGAACTCCTTGAAAAGAAAAGATGGTATTTATGATAACATGTAAAACAGTAGATATGTTTTCTCACATAGTATACTGAAACATATTTTGGGGCACAATTAGAGAAATCAATTGCCTCTGAAAAATATCTGGTGCCAGCTTTGATGCTTTCAGGTATCCAACATCTTCACAGAATTGAATCTGTGGAAGACCTATGCCATTCTGGAACCAGATGAGTCTGGAGCAACGTCTGAACAACTGAGTCAAGTCCATACAGTCAAATATTAGACTTTTACCATCAATAACTGAATCAAAATGCCTTAGAGAGGTAATAAGTAGAGAATTTACTGCTATGGAAATAATGGATTAGATTTGGATTAGTCACAGCTGTGTGGTGTCATGCTAGAGAACACCTACTGGAACCATTGTGGTTTACTTGGAATATCATTCAGTCCCAGAACTGTACTGTTCCCAGCTACTAAATTAGAATACACAGTAATGTTAGGCTTTTGTGAGTTACCAAAACAATTATTTTCACTTTCCCAGTGTTCTTCCACATTAGAGCGCTCAGAGGCTTTGTCTTCTTTTTCTTCCTCTTCCAGAAATGGTAGAAATTTTTGCTCTTCTTCCTCGCTATAACTGATCTCCTGATCTTCCATACTGATAGTTCTTTCAAAACAACCAGGTTAAGAAAGAGAAGAGCACACATTTTATACATAATCTCCCAAAAACTTGCAACAATAGCGACTATATCTTGAGATGAATTAATACTAATTCAGTTAATACTTGGTGCTCATGAAATAACTGGGTACAATCACACACATGTTTGTAACTAGTCACACATTTTGAGTATCAACTTGAATAAGTCTCTTCTAAAAAATAAAGGATGCTGCCATGTGGAGGGTTTTTTGTTTTGTTCTTTTTAATAATAATCAGTTAGATAATAAAATAAACTTGAATGTATTTTATCCACTTAGGCAACCAGTTTACCCAGAATGATCAGGGAACAACTCCAACACTACTTGCTCATGCACCTTGTCTTCAGTCTTAAGTAAACTATTCTCAAATGTTAACACAATTCAGTTAACTCTGTATGTCATCTCAAATGAGTTATTACCACATGGCTGAGCATTTCATCAAGTCCTTACGCATACAGAGCCTTATACATGTGATTAATTTTAAGGAAGGTGGTGGCTCAGCTTTGAGTGCATCTATGTAAACCCTTTTGCAGAACTCAAAAACAGACTACAAGCGAGCATCTACTTTCTCTAGTTAAGGAGCAGAGAGAACACACCATAGAATTTGAAGTATGGAATAGACTTACTAAGTTATAAGAATCACCTTAAAACTAAGACAAAATTCCCACAGCAGGCAATGATTGATTTAAAGATGTTAGTGACACTAAGAAGTAACACAAACATAACATGAGCTGCCCAAAGACTGTCTGCTGAGCCACTGCATTGTCAGGTAGAGCAAAACCAACTCCAACCTGAGCTATTGAGATTAAATTCACTCTTTGCATTTCATCTATGGTTTTGTGGTGGCTCCTGCATCTTGCCTGTGCCGGCTCACACACCAACACAGCTTTGGGTAAAGTAGGCCAAAATCTACACTACAGTCCAAGGCCCGAAGGCCTCCTACAAGGAAATCACAAGCCAAGCAGGGAAAGCCACACTGCTTCCCCAGTCCCTCAGGCTACAGAAACGACATGGCACCTCAGCCTCACGTCCCCAAAACACCATCTCGGCCCTGGGTGCGCACCGTACCCCGGCAATTCCACACGGTAGACGGAACCACCGCGCAAACCGCCAGAGCCCGCCCCAGGGCCGGTAGCGGGCCCACGGCAACCCCCGGGGCGCCTCAGGTAACCGCTGCCCGAGGGCCGGGCCGGACCCGGGGGCCCACAGCGCTGCCGCTCTAAGTCGGCCGGGTCACGGAGACCACGGCACTTCCCTCCATCCCGCGGCGGCGGGAAGGATGAACGGGCCGCTCCCGCCGCCTACGGTCCCTCCTTGAGGCCGCGGCCTAACCTCCGCCTCACCGCCGCCCACCTCAGCGGCTGCGCCCGGCGGCCGTTAGAGCCGCTGCCACGGCAACGGAGCGACCCACCGCGGAGAGGGCGGAGGGGACGCCGCAGGGAGCCCGGCCGCCCGCGGGCGCTGGAGGGGGGCGGAGCGGCTCGGCGTGTCCCCCCCCTCCCGGCCCGCGGGGTGGTGTGTGCCGGGGCCGGGCGGTGTGGGCCGGGGCGGGTTCCGCCGAGCAGCAGCGGCGGCTGGATCCTTCGGCAGCGCGTTCCCGAGCTGAATTCTGTCTAAATTTGCACTATTTATAGGCGGAATTACGAGGCGCGGGGCGGATATTGAGGGGTTTATTCAAGCCAATGAGTTAGAGAGATTTGAACCAGCTGAGCACTTGTTCAAGGGTTTGGTTGGGGTTTTTTTTATCCACCCCCCCCCGGTTGACGATTGTTTTATTTTTAGTAGTGTAAATCAAAATCTGAACTACTATGAAGCGCGTCGTCTTCCCCATTTTGATTGACAAGATTTATTATACGTTTTTTATGAGCCTTTGACGTGTTCTGTAATATATAACAGGATGACTGAGAATTCAAAAATGCAGTGCCGTTAAGGCTTCCAGTTCATTAATGTCACTAATTACAGGGGCGTAATTAGTGCCTGTCCTGGGCACCTCGCTCGGGTGAAATTTACACTGAAATTTTAGCTTCCGATTTGTTCTACATCCACTTGTAAATTTTAAACGAGTTGGTGGCACTGCGATTTTAAAAAATGTCTTTTTAGTGAATTTATGTGACTTTTTGCACACCAGGAATCCCACGGCTGGGAGGCTGGAGCACACACATTCCTGAATAATTTAAGATTTTCGAGTTTCAATCCAGAAGGAAGCTGTCTTAAATGTCTTTTCAGAAACGAGCCCATGCTATTCTGACAATGGGATGTCACCATTAGTTGCTAATTAAAGGTTATTACAGCAAAAATCCTGTGTACGAGTGGTGCTGCCCATTTACAGTGTCACCCTGGGAACGTTTCCGCTGCCTTCAGCAGAAACTGCAGCCTTTGAGGCTCCTTGTAGCACTTTAATAATCATTACAAGTAGGCACAAAATCACAGAGTGAAAAAGTATTTACATGATATTTCAGTAATTTACATAGTAAAGCTGAATGTATTTGTAAAATGTGTCTCAGTTGGAATGCTCTGTTCTTCAGAGGTATCTTTTGAACCCAAGTGTTTGCTACTTGAGTTCAGTCATCAGGTTTTAGCTCTGAACTGGTAATTAACCAGGTTTCCTTCCTATTTTATTCCATGAATTACCTTGACAAAGTTAAGAAATGGTCCAGATGGATGCACAGAAAAGCAGATTCTTGTCCCCCCATCCTTGGCACTGGGCCTAAATGATGTGCTAGAGAAATTCAGCTATTCAAAGCCACTCAGTTATTAAAATACTGGGCCGTCATTCCTTTAGTGGAGCTCTGTACGGAACACACGCTCACCTGCACGTGGAGACGGAAGGCATTCGCAGATTCATTTCATTGAAAATATTCCTTAATTATAAGCAACATTTCTCATCATTTTTTATAGTTGCTATGAGAAGTAAGATCTGTTTTTTCGATACCATGGATATAAGGCAAATGCTGCTAATTTAAGTATTCCCACTGGTATATATTACAGTGACATTGTCCTACACTTGTGCTATAGGTCCTCACTCTTTAGAAATGTATGGACGTTCTTGGCTCTACAGACGGTAGAATCTTGATTTTATGGCATCTATTCATATTACATAAAACAAATTACATACAGACATTTGCAGGATTAAAGCTACAAGATGTAGGCTAAAAATATGCCGTGATTAACTGTATAGCTCTCTCTGCAGATCTAGAATAGCTAGAACTGTGGTTAACTCTGAGCCTGCCAGCTCTCACTCTCAGAGGCAGGATGTGAAAGATCCAAGCATGTTGGTTTTTCCCCAGGATGTGAAAGATCCAAGCATGTTGGTTTTCCCTTCAAGAAAACACTTGTAAGAACACCTGGAAATATCACTGATTTTCCATTTCTTCTGATATTTTTATTTGGGTTATTTATTCAGTCCCAGTTTACAACTGATTTTCATAACAATAACAACAAAAAAGATGGTAACTGTAGTTTTAGCAATAAATAAATCCAAGGTTAACCTCTAAGTTCCCTAAAAACCCTAACCAGCACTAGAGCCAAAAATTAATAGGTGATTTTGCTGTGAACCATAATGGATTACAGCCACTCGGCACTGGGAGATGATGAGAAATCGACTTGTCGTTCCATAGGAAATGTTGAGGTGATATTCCCTCGGAACTGGAGCAAAGTTCAAATTGCAAATCCAACTTAATACAGAAATACCAGATGTTTTGTTATTAAAGTTTTAGGAACAGCCCCCTTCCAGCCAGCACCAGTCATTCCAGCACACACACTGCCAGTTCCTGTGTGGCTTCGTGGCCACTGCTCATGATTTTGTGTCAGGTGAATACTTGGTCAGTGGGGGGAAAGGCAATCCAGATTTTTATCTCCCAAACAGATAAAGAAGATATCTGCAGTTCCTCTGAAGACGCTAAATTATGGCTCCCCAGACAAGCCTGTATTTTCCCGTTCACACTTTATGTCCATCAACTACAAGTCAAGGAATCTATTCCAGCTCTAAGCTCCAAGAGATTTACCAAAAGGCATCGGTTGGTGCTGCTCTCCTGGATTTCCTAGGCACTGACCACCAGTGACTCTGAGAAGCTGAGTAACGGAGTGGGCTTGTCTAAATTAAAATCTTGCTGTTTTCCTTCTGTGAAGTTAAATTTAGAGGCATTTTGGTGAAGTTGCTTTAGTACCACCTCACGATCAGTTGGAAAGGCAGCGGAACTGGCCAGTTTGCTGTATGGCTACAGACTGCGCTTCCACGGGCGGTTGGTGGTTCTTTTCTGAACGTTTCCAAGGTGACAGCAGCTCGTATATGGAGCTTTCTAGCTTTTAGGCAGGAAGACATGCCAATAATGGAATCTTAATTTTTGCAGCATGGTTCATACCAGATTACATAAAACAACTTCTCTGCCCCTATTTGGGTATATATCGATACGGCTCAACGCTGGACTGTAAACCGTAGGAAAACATTGATAATCCTCTTATCAATGAGAGATCCTTAATGATGTAGTGAGAAAGAATGAGAGGGGCATTTGCTGTCAGAGCACCCCACGGAGGAATGACTCAAGGTGGCATCAGGATTCCCATTAGGAATGACTGGGAGCACATGTGGAGCCAGACAGTCATCTCCAGTCCTGGAACTAGCCCTGGCTCAGCGGCAAAGTGGGGAATTTCATCCCAAATCTGTTACACGGAGGTGAGAAAAAGAGGGCAAAGTGTCTGGCCACATTGCATTTCATGGTTATCCAAAAAATCTTTGCAGACTGAGGGAGGAACTGGGTGTTCTACAGAACATTTGGAAACAGATAAAAACTAGATTTCTCAGCCAGCGCTTTAGGTGACAGGAAAATTAACATTGTGGTTACACCGATATTCATTAAATACAGACACATTTGTGTTGGGGCCATGGGACGTTCATACAGTGCAAGTACAGTACAACATCTGAAATGAGCCAGATATTCCCACCATGCGATTGTTACTGATATTCCCAAATCTCATTTCCAAAAATAGACATATGTGTGTAATTTATATATCTAGAGACATTTGGCGACGTTGCCACAACAGTCTTTCACGAGCTGTTTATGTGGAATCGTGGGAGAGTGAAACTAATTATCCGCATGGTACATTTTTTTGCCTCTAAAAAGTATATGTGAGAATATGACATCTTTATTTGTTGGCAGTAAACCCACCTGTCCTGTTTAGAAAAGATCTGTTAAGAATATCAGGTAATGAAGTACAACTGTAAAATAAATTTAAATAATGTCCTTTTGATATGCTCTCAAAATCCTGAGGTAATAAAGGACTATGAAGACTTGTTATTTGGCCCAAGCCACCGAGCCTATTTCTCCTCAATCCCATCAAATTATGTCCTCCAATTAATTATATTATGGTCGCAGTTGCAAAAGTATGGGTGAGTATGATCAGGAAAAAGTCACACCTCTTGCACGTTCCAGAAGAAAAATACTTGACAGATTTTGAAATGCGTGTTTCTGGGGTTAATTATAGGAAAATACTACTTCAAAGTTGTGACCTTTGCTTACTACTTGAGAAAGGGTAAATAAATCACAAATTAGTAATTGTTAATATAATAATGATGGCAACTGATGATTTAATAAGTAATGTTTAAATGATATTTACTTGTAAAATAGTGCAGATGTGGGTGGAGCTAATCAACTTTTGATACTTTTTGATAGACTGGTGTGGTCAGATAATATGGAAATACTGACCTAGGTATAATGTTGGTCACTATACAGGTGGCCTTGCCAGATCTACTGCAGGTTTATGAGTACAACTGCAGAGAGGAAAGTTTGTTCCAGACTGTGTCGCTCTGACCTGCTGGTGCTGGAGCAGGGTTTGACCCCACGCAGTCTCTGATGGTCCATCCGAGCTCCATAAGCAAGGTAAGGCCATAGGGTGGGTATTTTCATAAAAGCTAGAGCCTGCAGCCATGCGGATTGAGGGGAGGCATTTAGTAGACTGACAAAAAGGCTTAAGAAGAATTTAGTATCATGGGCCATCTTTTTAAGACTATTTGACAGATCCAAGCCAGGAGCTAAAGGAAAGCTTTAATTATTTTCAAGAGGATTAGATGAGAAAGATTTGGGGAGCTAATTTATTTTGTTTTGTTTTGATGTTTTAATAGCAATTTTAATTGTTTTTTAATCTATCCCTTGAGCAATTTTAATCTGCCATTGACTGTAAAGAGTTTGGGATATTCTGCTAGAATTGTAGGAAATTAAATATATTGTTGATCATTATTATTTTATCCCCTCTCTTCCCTGTGGCTAACAGGAATAATTAATTTTGAGTGGGGGTGTACATATATATATATATATATAAGTCTACTTTGCTTAAATAGGTATTTGTATACAGAATCAACTAAAACCAAGGGTCAATGCCCCAGCATTTGTGCTCCTTCTATATAATATAGCGGATATAAACATATTCCCATGACAATTGCATTGAAGATTTTGTGGGGAGTCACATTACTGGTTTTGGCTATAGAGCTGCTGAAAAAGGAGCATAGGGGTAGAAGAAGTCAGAAAGAGAACTAGCTTAATGAATTTAGAGAAAATATGTCAGTGACACTCTTCCTCTTCTTCTTCTTGGCAATATTGGAACCAGCAAAGAGCATTTTTTGTGGGATCAAAGTAAGTGCTGAAAGTGTAGTTGTTGTAGAAATACAATTTTTTCAGTAATGATTCTTTTAGAGCCTTGCTGTTGTATTTTTATTTGCTTTAATGGTCAATTTTGTAGCAACGTCTATCCCTTTAGAGCATATGTTGCCATGATGTACTTATACCAGCACACAAATATACACACACTCACACACCTACATATGTGTTCTACATGAATAAAACACACATATACACCCACACATTCTAAATGTACAATGTGCCTCAGCTGATTTTTGCTATTTTTACAGATATTTGCTGAAGACATAGAAAACTGTACTTTTTTTTCCCTATAAAATTAGGCAACAGCTCTCTAGCCAGAGAAGAACAATACCAAGGAATTCTCACAGCTCATGGGAACACCATCCTTAAGAGTAGGGAGAAAAAGAAATAAAGTCGACTGAAAATATCCTGAAAGGCCTATTTTTACAGATATTTGCTGAAGACATAGAAAACTGTACTTTTTTTTCCCTATAAAATTAGGCAACAGCTCTCTAGCCAGAGAAGAACAATACCAAGGAATTCTCATAGCTCATGGGAACACCATCCTTAAGAGTAGGGAGAAAAAGAAATAAAGTCGACTGAAAATATCCTGAAAGGCGTAAATCTGTTGTGTTATACAGAGAGACAAAATCATTCTGTTCTGTATATCTTCCTGTAAATTCCATTAAAAATCCTTTGGTTTCTCTACTCTAAAAAACCCACCAGTTTTCCCACAGTAACCCAACTACTAGAGTTTAAATTGATGTCGTCCTTCGGATGCCTGGGCTGCAGGCATGACCATTGAAATGTGCAGAGGAAGGAAAAGATCAGAAAGAAAATAAACCCCAACATCATTCTTACAAGTTTATGGCATATGATCTTATATGTGTGTGTACGTATGTTTGCATATGCATTGTGTATGTCTGTACACACTCTGTAGATAATCTGTACATCTATTCTCCACCTGGATCCCATGGGGCTGTTACTCCCCTCACCTGCCACCCCTCAGCTGCCATCTGAAATACTGGTGTTAGCTAATAATACAAAATTCCACACACAAAAAGATAAATCAAACACTTTACCCCAGGTGCATCTTTTCATTTGATTAAGGGATCTGCACATTCATTTTTGCTTTACAACACAATTTCCTTCAAATGTCTTCTTTACAGTGTTTCCTTTGTGGGTTGGTTTTAAAATTGTCCTTCCAGACTGAACAGCACCAAAAAAGAAGAGGAGGCGGAGGAGGAGGAGAAGAAAAGAGTGAATATGGAGGAGAAAAATCGAGTTTGACCTGCAAGTCAGGATGAAAGCAAACTCCCGAGAAGGCTTCTGGCCGGGTTCCCCCCGCCCCTCCGGCGGCCGGTCCCCATCCTTTCGGAGCAAGCAGAGGTCCCCAGAGTTTCCCAGGTGGAAAGGGACACGTTGATACCGAGCTCTAACGGTGCCAGCCCCGGGAGCCACCGTGGGATGGAGCGTTGCGAATGCAGTTTCCCAGCTCCGTGCTCGCTGAAGTCACCCGAAGCGTTTCACTTTAGAGCATCCCCCTTTAGAGAAACCTGAAGAGCGGCGAGGCAGAAGTTTGCAAAACCTCGGCTCTGCCTCCTCGGGTTCCGCACCGCCGGCCTGGGACAGCGTTCAGAAAGCGGAGAGGTGGCACCTTCCCCTCGCCAGAGAACACCCCCCTCCCCAACCCCCGCCCCCGGTCCGTACTCCCTCTTCCCTCGG